TGTGCTTTCTCCAGTCCATAGGCCTCCCCTTCGAGACTAAGTGTCTTCCTCCACTGAAAGTGTCACCTTGTCTTGGGCACGTCACCAGGCTCTTCAGGGGCTGTTCAAATCTGAGGTGTGGACTCCTGGAATTTCTTCGGACAGGGAATGGTGTATGAATTTTGAAGCCACAGCAAGTATTCCTGACATTTTGCTTGGTTCATCACTAGGGTACAGCCACTCCTTCCATACCTACAACTGAATAAGAATCTAAGAATCCTCCTTTTCAAACACTTTGCTTTGGATGTCTCTTGAGTGAGGGTTGTGTAGCCAGTTATGAACTATGGAAGAAGTTCTCATCTTTGCAAATGCTGAGCAGTTCTCTGAACAAGTGCAATTCCTGGAGGACAGTGATTACGGGAATATCCTGTATTCCCTGAAGACATCTGAAAAGCTCATTTCCTGCAGCATGGGATTTAGAACAAGCACATGGAAGAAAAACACTGTAGAAATTAAAGCCTATTACATTTTGAAAGCCATGGTTTCTCTTGTGACTGATGCCTCTTTGGAGAGGCACACTGGATTTTAATCATATTTAAGCCAGAAAGATGAGGGGGTGGGCCACAAAGACTACAAAGACTGTTGTGTTGTATCTACTCTTCTTAAATGCAAATTACAGCACTCAGTGCTTGCCTGATGCATACTCATTCCTAGAAGCACTTTGTAGTGGTGGTAAGAAAATAGACTTATTTTTAAAAATTTTATTCTATGTTATTGTCTAGTTGAACAACTGAAGTTGTTGCTTTGTTTTGCTCTTTCCCTACCTCTTGCTTTGTTTATGTAGATGTCAAAAAAATCTCTCTGTCTATCTAGAATTGCTCCCCAAGTCCCCAGTATCCAAAGTTCTGGGTTAGATGGGAGTCATGTACCAATGCTCTGTCATTCAGAACAAAAGGGTTTTTTTTTTTATAGAAAGAGATACTTCTCTGACATCACAAAACTTTCCCCAGATCAGTGGCAAGAAAATTGTACACCTGCAGGTCTGTCACCACACCAACTCCATTTCTGACCACTTGAGGCAGAAATTGGAGCTTTGGGGTGGAATGTTAATTTCTCCTCCATCCATTCATCCATCTATCATCAACTAAAAGGTAAATTGCAAGGAAGGAGCACTAATTTAACAAAATACTGCTTTTAAACTGTTGTGTGCAGGAGGGGACAAGTTAAAAGTGAGAAGCCAAGGACAAATTTGCCTCTGTCATCCCAGCACCTGTGCCAAAAGGGTGCAAACTCACTGATGTCAGCCCAAATTACAAAATGTTGTCAGAGCAGCCTTTTTGGTGGGACCACACCAAGGCCATGAGAAGCAGCCAGTGTAGATCCCAGTGTGGTGTCTTACAGCAGTAGTGCCCTTTGTCTCTAGCAATAGCCATACTCCCAGGTGTGTTTTCTTCACACAGGGTGGGCTGGTGCCCTCAGACTGTGTGTGATCTGTTGCTTTGCTCCCTACTGGGGCACTGTGCAAACAGTCTCATCTTCACTACTAGAAACAGTTGTCTGTTTCATCTTAAATTATCCCAAACAGAACTACACCCCAGCACTACTGTCAGACAAACTCAGGTTATTTGTGAGGGTAATAATGACCTTGCCTAATTGTCTCAAGAGATTTTAAAACCCAAACCAATTCCATATGACTCCCCAAAGTTTTTGTCTCTGCCAGGACTCTACACCAGATGAAGTAGCCCATAGCTTTTCCATATAAAAAAAGTAATTTTTTATATACTCTGCACACCCAGAGAAGAGCAGCCTTTGATATTGCTAAATGGTTCCTGTAATCCAGCTGTAAGTGTAGTTACAACACTGAAACCAACCCTTGATGTGAAATCAGATAGAATGAAACACAGAAGCTCTGTCTGGAGTTGAGCTCTTCCAAGAAATGACCAGGATCAGTCTTCTGTCCCCCTGCTTTGCAAGGCCTCAGGTTAAGTCCTTTGTAAGCCAGTTAATGAAATGGCAAACTTCACTCTGAAGTCAGGCCAAATTCTTATCAAAGTGACTGCTAGGTAATGAACAATTTTTGCTCTAGTCTTCTGGCATCATTTTTAGTTTGATGGCAGAGATGCTGTTCTGGAGGTTGGTTTGGACCAGTGGTTTCAGCAGACCATACATAGCTTTTAGAATGCTGTTAAGTGTCCTTTACGAGGACTTTTAACATTCAACTTTATTTTAAGTGTAGGTTGGTAACCTTGACTTTATTGGAGTACTACTGATTTAGAATTTATATTGTTTTAAATTCATCATGAGAGAGCAAGAAGACAGAAATAAGCTATCAGGATTTTTTTGCAATTAATACTAAAACTGCAGTATCTAATTTTTATAATAAAGTGACTACTGATTTACCTCTGTAGAGTTGCTTGTTTGTGCTGTGATTGAGTATATGAAAAAAAGGTGTTTATTGTATTGATGCACTACAAAGTATATCAAAGTTTTCAGGAATTGTTTCACATTGTTTCATAGTTTCACCATGTTTGAATTAAGCAGAGAATGTCTTCAGTGTGAATCTGATGAGACCTAATCCACTGATGATGGTGGTAGAGTGTAAGTCTGCATTTTGGCATGGCCAAGACCAATACTACCAAGAATAAAGTACCTGGTATTCATCATTATTAGATGAATGTATCTTTATATTAGAGCTAACTACAGTTCTGACCTTACTCTATTAGGGGAGAAAACTCTGCAAATTAAAAGTACATAGCAGAGTTCTCTGTTTCAGGGATAATTCCTGAAAACCAGTATTTTATCAATGTAGCAGTGTTAACAGGTACTTAATTACTAGACTTGGGAAGTTCAGAAATCCTGAAATGAAATGCTGCTGGTTCTCCCAGCAGGTGGCAACAAACTAACAGAAAACAATTATACAGGGAACACCAGGAAAGTGTTTAAATCTTCATTCGCTTACTGAGGAAGGTATTAGAACCTGTGGGAAATGCAAAGACTTACACGTCCCAAATTAAAAGGAAAAGAGGATTTTGTGTGATCACCTAAGAACTTACTAAGAGTGCACTGTTTTTTACCATGGCATAATAATGTTCTAGAATAATCCATGATTCTGCCACTGCTGGTGAGTCATTTAGGTAAACAGCCTGTGGGGAGGGAGTGATGTACATCCAGTAAAGGAGAAAAAGCATTTAACTGTCCTTCATTGGCCTCTTGATGTATTTCAATCTCAGCATATTGAATTAGGGGAAGAAGGAGAAATCACATCACATTCAGGGTGATGGAGCCCTGCAGTCCTGGTTGTATCTGAACACCTGCCTGCCCATGGGAAGTGTGAATCCACTCCTTGGTTTGCTTTGCTTGTGTGCACAACTTTTGCTTTGTGTGTTAAACTATATCTCAAGCCACAGGTTCTCCCTGATTCTTCTGATTCAGTGCTCAGTTGCCAGCTGGGGTTAAACCAGTACAACAGTACTTCTGAGTTCTAGATTATTCAAAAATGCCATTTTCAGAGATGTGTCTATCTTTAATTGGAGAAAAAGGCTTCAGGTTTCATATGGCAGCTCACCATCTGCCCACTTACTTTCCAAGAATCCAGGTCCAGGCCATATCTGCCTCATGTCTCTGTGGTCTCCCACTGGCAGAGAAAATGCCACAAAGGACTGTTGCAAATAATTTAGTAATTCACAGACCTCTTTTGGATTTTGTCGCTGCTGGATCTGACACATTGACTCAAAGTGTGCCTAAGAGGTTTTGGGTTGTGGACTGCTCAAAGTATTTGCTGTGAGAGTTTTTCCTGGCTCTCTGAAGCTGTGAGCATTAACATTTCAGATTGTCCAGAGCACCAGCGCTTTTCTGGGATGTTACAACTTCCACTAGAAGAAGAACACTAGAGCAACCTATTCCTTAGTCTCAAACCATCAAAAATCTGATGGTTTTCTGAAGAACTCTGAGATTCAGCTTAAGCAAAGCAGCAGATGGAATTTATAATGGAAATTCTTTGTTAAAAAACAATTATGGCTCCAAAAATTATGTAGCTTTTCCCAGCCAAAGTCAAAGAGTAATGGTTTGCAGGTCTATGTAAAGAACAGCAACATGAAGACTATACTAAAGTGAGTTTATAAAAACCAGTATGAACTAGTTCTCACTGTTAAAATGTAGGTGTTAAAGAAGATATTTCTATGCTGGTTGCCAACAGTGGCAGAACAATCTATTATTATCATCATGTCAGAGTAGACTAATCTACATTTTAGGAATTGTCTATTTAATGTCTGCGGATTAAACATCATCATAAACAGCACATTTATAAAATCAGGGGATATATGATGCAGATTCAAGCAATTAAGTGTGCCTTCCTCTTGTTACTTAAGGGTTGCAACCATGAGGATTTCTCTACTGAGAGAAGCTGCTGCTTTCCAGTGGTGAACAGTGCAGAAGGAGCAAAGTGGAGGAGGCGACTGCACTAATTTGGTGTCAGAATGTTGGGGTGATGCCTCCAGATCTGTCCTGCAATAAGAATCAAATTTCTTCCTATCTTTGGGTAGAGAAGTGAGAGTCTGTACTGAAAGCTGTCCCATATTGCTGACAGCCTGGATGACTGCACATGGAAAGAGAAGTAATAGAAGTAAATTGAGATGTTAATAGAAAAGCCAGGAGATCATTTAAAAGCGCTAGTAGAGCACACTTAAGAATGGTAGTTATGTTCACTTTCCAGATCTCATTTTTGGCTTTCTTTCCTATCCTTCTCTTTTCCATTCGTTTGCTCTCTTATGCCTTCAGTACTGGAATTCAGGTGTGATTTTCATCTACAGAAGTTTGTGTTGGGGAACTGGGACGGCGTGTGCGTTGCGGGTGATGTAAAACCCCGAGGTGTGAGAAAGCACAGTGTACAACGTGTTACACGGCCACACTCCAAACCAGTAAGTGTGCCAGCCCTGTTTGCACTGAGTTTGCAGCCTGGGGTGTCTGTGAGCCCGGGCTGTGTGGGTGGATTTGCACAGGAGGGGTGCTGCAGGCAGCAGGGTGACCTCGTCCCGCGGCGCTGTGACGCTGAAGCGCAGCAGCAGGTGCTGGGGACGGGCCCTGGGTGCCTCCTGCCCTGCAGCCCAGAGCCAGGCTCCAGCACAGACCTGCCACCAGTGACCCCAAAGGCAGGGAAACCCCTCTGGAGACACCATGGTAAGGGGGATGGGGAGCACCGGGCACACGGGGCCGGGGGGGGCTGTGGGTGAGGGAAGGCAGAGGGGTCTGCTGTCGTTATCAGTGGGTTTTGCCACTGAGCCCTGATCTCACACACCACTCACCATGTAAGAAAATGGGAAAGGAGTGCAGAAAATCTCACTGAAGCATTACTGCATTGTTTCTTCAGAGAGTTCCTAACTAGTGGGATTATAAGATAAATTAGATGTGGAGTCTTAGCTGCTTGGTACTTTCTGTTGTGACTATATTTTCTCAACACCAGTTTATTTCCATGCAAGACAATTTTTTTTAGATATAAACCAAAAAATGTATTTACCTTTGTGTCTGTTTCAAATTAATTTAGCCCCAATGGCTATACTGTCCATAGCTATACAGGGTATGTGTGTGTGTTTCTGGAGTCCATGAATCTTTTTATATATGTATGTGTTTAAGTAAGTTAAAAAATTTGTTTTTAAGTTTTGGTGGTTTGTTATAAATTCGTAGAAATCTCTCAAAACCTCTTAGAATGTGAAAAAATCCATTTCACCTTGTGCCCCGGTATATCTCTAGCACAGAGTCTAATTTTGGTGCAGAGGAAGAACTTTCTGCCAGCTCATCTCACAGGCAAAATACTTCCACAGGCTTCCCAGACCTAGGGAAGTGAGCGTGTTTGTGGAACAGCTGGAAGACTAAAGTTCTCCTTTTGCAGTAAATCCTGGAGCCAGTTTGGTTTTTTTTTGAGTCAAAGCTGTCCCAAAGGTTTAGTTTCACAAAGGATCTGGTCCTTTCTACTGTTTCTTTGTTAGACCTGTCCTGGGTCCACAGACATTAGTGGTGGGATGTGAAACATGAGTTTGGAATAGGCTCCAAATTCAAATATCACGTAAAGATCAGTTTACTCTGACTGTGACGCTGAAGAAGGCCCACCCTCTTCCCTACTAAAAGTCTGGCATGTATTTTAATGCTGTTCACTATGCAAAGTCAGAAACCTCTTTTTCACTGTCTTCTCTCTTGGGCAGAATATTTCCAAATTACTGCTGAGGAAGGAGAAGATGAAATGGCTCAAAAAGCAGGGTTGAGATGTGGTTTCAAACTAGTGCAGCTGAAAGCTCAGTCTGAAATTCTTCAACTACAGTCATATATAAAGTTTTACAATACTAACTTCCTAAGGCAGCATTCACTTGTTCCATCTGTGAAGAAACAGACCAATTCCTCTACAGACCTGAGGAAATGAGCAAAGCAGCTCTTTAGGTTTAAAATATCGCTTGACTTGTAATTGTAGTTTTGCTTTAAAATATATTGTTTTTAAAAGCCAGCTGGCCTCACTGCTGTGTTTGAAAAGAAAAGAAACCCTTATTTTTCTTGCTGCCTGCCAGCCTCACAGATTCACACTGGGATTTGAAAGAAAAGGCAGGAGCCTGTGGAAAGTCAGCATTAATTGAATTCTCTAAGCCCAAATATGCCTTCAGTGTCTCCTGAGTAATCCTCCAGATTGCAACACACTGATTTATGGAGCTCCATTGTCACTCAGATAACTCAGAGACTTCTGCCCAACTCAGTTGACAAAGACAGGGTTGTGCAAGTACACTTGAGAGCACATGCATGTGCAGAGTCAGCAGAAATTTTCAGCTTAAAAATGAGTACTGAATAAAAATAATTTATTTCGTTGAATGAAAGATTTAAATAGAGCTTCCATGTTCATCTGAATGTCTGGGGATGACTAGCTGGGGCAGTGATGACTTGAAATTCTAGTTGCTTCAGAAAAAATTCCTTCAGTTATGTTTCTTACACACAAATTTATGTCCATTTGAAGAATTGAAAGAAAAGAAAACACTGCTCCAGAGATCTTGCTGGTCACACATTGTGACTGAAAATTTAGTTTTTGGGGAGGATACATTTAATTCTCAGGTCACAGAATGATTTTGCTGAGTAAGCAGTTACAGAATTTAATTTTTTAAAAATTAACTGGTCAAATCTGATAGTGCCATTGGTTATCTCTAAATGCAATATTACAAAACAAGAATGAGTGAGGACCATCCTCTGCCCTTAAAGCCAGGTCTGCTTCACATCTGGGCATCTCAGTTCTCCTTCCTGCTCCAGAGCCTGGCAGTGGTCAGTGAGCTGCTCACTGGAAACCATTCTTGACAATGAGTTGTTTTCTGCATGGTGCCCAAGCATTGTCTGGAAAAATATTAACTGGCCTAAGACAAAACTGTGCCAATTTTTTTGAATTATCAATCAGCACAGGAGATCACAGGCCAGTGTTCAGTACTATGACCTGACTTTTTCTTACTCCCTAGTATAGACAGGGCCCTGGGAATCACAAAAACAGAGCTCAGGCAGCTTTAATTGCTCCAAAGCAGAAACCAAATCTGAAAAAATCCACATGCCTGAAACCACTCTCTCCTCAAAAAAATGCCTTTCACTACACCCAGTGTTGCAATTGCTGGGACTAACCCAGAAGTATTTGCTTTATAATTGTTTGTGAATTTATGAAATCCAGCAGCAGAGCCTTTTAAAAGCAGTCCTTTTAAGTGTATTTTGGAGCAATTGACAGCTGCCTACTTTAGCCTGGTGCTACACAGTTTTCTCTTCCTGGCTGCCACAGAAACAAAGCTGGGAATCATGCAAATACACTTTACTGCAATGGCACTGCCTGACAAGCAATGGACCCGTGATGTAAAATTAATGGCTGCTCAGGAGCTGGAAGGAACATTTGTTTTGGCCAAGAAAATCTGGAGTAATTGAAAGCAGCTCTTCCAAGTTTCCACGCTAGCCTGCTCTCAGAGGGTAGAAGGATCAAAAGACATCATCTGCCTCGGGTTACATAAGGGGGAAGGATGCCACATGGCTGTGTCAGGTTCCAGCCAGGGGTAAAAATAAACTAAACTGGGATGTGCTCCTCAGCAGGGCCAATCCAGGAAGAAAGGTGGGGTTTGTGTAATTGAAATTAATTTTTCCTGACTGTTTTTAAAATACTTCTGTAGTAGAGCACGCAGACCTCAATTTTTTAAAGAACTGTCCCAGTATGTGGCATGTGCATGTGCAGTCTTTTTGTGGTCATGGGGCTGAACAACCAAATGAACAGGTGACAGTGACAATTCAGATTTTTTGGAAGAGCAATACACAGGGAAAAGGCAACCACCAGGAATAAGGAGGGCTAAGGCACACTGATTTTTCTGACCCTGCTCTCCTCTCTCCCCTCAGCGTGAGTGCATCTCTGTTCACGTTGGCCAGGCTGGAGTGCAGATAGGAAATGCGTGCTGGGAGCTCTTCTGCCTGGAGCACGGCATTCAGCCCGACGGCACCTTCAAGGACCTGCAGGACAAACTCAGCTCTGATGACTCCTTCACCACATTCTTCAACGAAACAGCCACTGGGAAGCACGTGCCACGGGCTGTAATGGTGGACTTGGAACCAACCGTGGTAGGTCAGTACAGAAATAAACCTGCAAAATGGAGATGAGCTTGATTTTCCTCATATCACCATGCTGTGCCACCAGTCTTCACTGGCACAAAGTGGCCCTTTGCACCTCGGGCTACCACTAGATAGCATGGTGACACAAAAAAACCATCAATTTTCTGTGACACAGGACGCCAGATTCTGTCACAGGTGTTACAAACACTGGAACAAGAGGATCCCCAGCAGTTTAATGGCTGGTACACCTGGCGTGCACAACTTCTCTTTGCATCAATATTAGGGTTTGTTTATCATGACATTTTTGCCGTTCAAATTCTGCTTTTCTTCAGTTTGGATTTAAAGCAGGAGCCTGATTGCTGCCCTCCAATAATAGAATGTCTATAAATTGGGACACCTGAATGTCACATTCACATTTTCTGAAAAATCCCTTCGCCCAGGATTTTTCTCCTGGGAAGCTGAGAAGCCTCAGAGAAAAAGGAAAACAATAATTATCTGATTTGCTTCCTGTGTTTTGCTCCTTTGGAATGTGTTTGGACATTATTTACCCACAGGTGATTGTTTCATTGGTTTCTGCTGTGGGTTGATTTGACTCATTGGCCAATTGGGCCAAGCTGTGTTGGGGCTCTGGAAAGAGTCACGAGTTTTCATTATTATCTTTTTAGCCTTCTGTAAGTATCCTTTCTGTATTCTTTAGTATAGTATAGTTTACTATTCTTTAATATAATATAGTATCATAAAATAATAAATTAGCCTTCTGAGAACATGGAGTCAGATTCATCATTCCTTCCTTTGTCTGGGGATCCCTGTAAATACAATACCTGAATTTCTTCACACTGTTTTTTCTGGGGACTTGTCACCAACAAGCTCATGAGAAGATAAGTGGCTGGACTGAAGATGCACAATAAATCAAGCAAATGCAACAATGAAGAAATGCTCAGGAGACACTTCCCTTCTCCATCAGCATCTGTCTTTTGGCATCATGAGCTTCTGTGACTGACAGCATCCACTGATGCCAACAACAACCCGAATTTGTTGGCACTTCTTACAATTTCTCTTTCTTCTTCAGATGAAGTACGGGCTGGCACCTTCCGGGAACTTTTTCACCCAGAACAGCTGATCACTGGAAAGGAAGATGCAGCCAATAATTACGCCCGTGGCCACTACACCATTGGCAAGGAAAGCATTGATATGGTGCTGGATCGTGTCCGTAAGCTGGTAAGTCCCAGTAGCTCTGAAACAGCAGTTTGGACTCTGCAGAAGAAAGAAGGGCAGAACTAACAGCTTGTTAATTGCAAATGATACCAATGGTTCAGCAAAGAGATTGCAAGTGGTACAGATGGTATCTTGGACATGGTGTAGAAGAGAGAAGCCCAGTAGTTCACTTCCCAGCTGCATGCCTCCAGGCTTTTTTATAAAGTGGTTATGAATATGTAATTTTTAATTATTAGCACAGCCCTTCAGCACCAATACTGATACTGAAGGGTGGATTATGCAGTTGTACATTGCTGGTTTCAGCTAGAGTAAGAGAGCAGTGTGAAGTTCAGACAGAGAGAGGCCTGGACAGGTCCCTATGTCTTAAGTTGAGAGAGTGAGGAAAGCAAAGGTTGGAACTATCACCAGCCCTTTCCCAGGAAATCTTGACATGAAATCTATGCTGTATACTGCCTATGACTGCTCACTCCTTCAGCTCAGGAGAAGATCACATAGCAAAGTCTTTTCCTCCTTTTTCAGCCGCTGCTGTTTCACTTTCTCTTTTGCTTTCTAGACCGATGCCTGCTCTGGGCTGCAAGGATTCCTGATCTTCCACAGCTTTGGTGGCGGTACCGGCTCCGGATTTACCTCCCTGCTGATGGAACGCCTCTCTGTGGATTACGGAAAGAAGTCCAAACTGGAATTCGCCATCTACCCAGCCCCTCAGGTCTCCACTGCTGTGGTGGAGCCCTACAACTCCATCCTGACCACGCACACCACGCTGGAGCACTCGGACTGCGCCTTCATGGTGGACAACGAGGCCATCTACGACATCTGCCGCCGCAACCTGGCCATCGAGCGCCCCACCTACACCAACCTGAACCGCCTGATCAGCCAGATCGTGTCCTCCATCACCGCCTCGCTGCGCTTCGACGGCGCCCTCAACGTGGACCTGACGGAGTTCCAGACCAACCTGGTGCCCTACCCGCGCATCCACTTCCCGCTGGTCACCTACGCGCCCATCATCTCCTCGGACAGAGCGCACCACGAGCAGCTCTCGGTGGCCGAGATCACCAACGCCTGCTTCGAGCCCAACAACCAGATGGTGAAGTGTGACCCGAGGCACGGCAAGTACATGGCCTGCTGCATGCTCTACCGCGGCGACGTCGTCCCCAAGGACGTCAACGTAGCCATTGCTGCCATCAAGACCAAGAGAACCATCCAGTTTGTCGACTGGTGTCCAACTGGCTTCAAGGTGAGTAGGGCTTCTCTTGAGTGTTGAAAGGGGAGGTTCAGTCTAGTAGAAAACTTGTATTCTTAAAGTTTTCTAGCAGAAAAATTATATTCTTAAAGTTTTCTAGCAGCAAACTTGTATTTTTAAAGTTTTCTAGCAGAAAAATTATATTCTTAAAGTTTTCTAGCAGCAAACTTGTATTTTTAAAGTTTTCTAGCAGAAAAATTATATTCATAAAGTTTTCTAGCAGAAAACTTGTATTCTTAAAGTTTTCTAGTAGAAAACTTATATTTTTAAAGTTTTCTAGCAGAAAACTGTATTTTTGAAGTTTTCTAGCAGAAAAATTGTATTTGTAAAGTTTTCCAGCAGAAAACTTGTATCCTTAAAGTTTTCTAGCAGAAAAATTGTATTTTTGAAATTTTCTAGTAGAAAACTTTTTTTTTTGAAGGTTTCCAGCAGAAAACTTGTATTTAAAGTTTTTTATCTTGCCTATTTCTCCTATATCCCCCAGAATATGGGGGAATATAGATATTTCCCAATGAACATAAGGATGCTTTTATATAAAATGTGTCTTTTCTCCTTTGGACATCCCATTACATATTTAAATAAATGAAAGTTCAAAGTGTGTATGGGTTAAAATTGAAAGAAGTTTTAATTTCAGACCTGACCTCTGGAACAGCCAACGAGCGTTGCCTCTGAGGCACAATCTAAAATTGAGGAAATACCAAAGCTGATAAAATTAATAAAGGAAATGCTGATATTAGGGAATCTCTTAGTTAACCTAAAAATATTACACAGCCTCTCCCCACTGGTTACACAGCAGTGTCTGGAAATACATTTTCAGCAATAATACAGACACTACCAGCAGAAAAGTATTTGTCATACAAACAGCTCCTTCAAAAATGAAAACCTCCAACTGGGAACCAACTTTTTAGATTAGTTTCTACAGAGTACCTTGGTGAAACTCTATGTTCAGTAGGTGTTAAGAAAGCTACGAACTGGTCAGTGTGCATTAAACAGTAGAATAGTAGATATTAGAGCGTGTTTTGTGCTCTTTGACATTTGACATGGCATTTGCCATCTGGCACCAGCACCTGTAACTTCACTCACCTTTCTTCAGCTCCTTGACTGCCTCCTGCTCCTGCTGTTGTCCAGCCTTCTCTCACATCCCTGTTTCCAGGTTGGGATCAACTACCAGCCTCCTACAGTGGTTCCTGGCGGAGACCTGGCCCAAGTTCAGCGGGCAGTCTGCATGCTGAGCAACACCACGGCCATCGCCGAGGCCTGGGCAAGGCTGGACCACAAGTTTGACCTGATGTACGCCAAGAGAGCTTTTGTGCACTGGTACGTGGGGGAAGGCATGGAGGAGGGAGAGTTTGCAGAGGCCCGAGAGGACCTGGCTGCCCTGGAAAAGGACTATGAAGAAGTGGGAACTGACTCGTTTGAAGAAGAGAATGATGGGGAGTGATTTTAAAATACATTTTGTTCCTGGTGAGCACAGAATTGTCTCTGTACTGCATGTGTCAACAATTAGCTCAGATTTTCTGCACCTTGTAAACATAAATTTAGGAGAGGACATTTTTTTATTACATAAATGACAGGCAAATTATCCTGTAAGATACAATCAGCTGTAGTAATGCCCCACCACTCCCAGTAATGTAAAAAGATTTGCTCTCCCTTGCACACTTAATGTGAGCCTCTCTAAGCTCTAGTGAACATGAAAAACTCACTACATTCCACGTAGGTTATCCCAAAAAAGCTGCAGAACGCTGCTTCCTGCTCCTGCATAAGAGCAGCAGAGCCAACAGGGACACCACAGACAGCTGCCCAAGCCAGGATTCTGTGGAATCCACAGTCAGCTACGACACTCTGCGGGATATTTGAAAAGTCATGGCAGTCAGGTGAAGTCCCAGGGGACTGGAAAAAGGGAAACATTGTCCCCAGTGTTAAAAAGGGCAGAAAGGAGGGTCCTGGTGGCTGCCAACCTCTTGGCCTCACCTCTGTACCTGAGAAGTGCATGGAAGAAGTCCTCCAAGAAGCTGTGCTAAGGCATAAGGAGGGCGGATTTAACTGGATGCTCATGGAAAAATTAACTGGGCACTTAAGCATGAAGTACCTAGGTGCTCATGCATAAATTAATTGGGAATTTATTAACACCTCTGTGCAACAAATGAGATATTGTCTCGCTTTTTGATTAGGTTCTCCTGCATGCATTTGTGACCCTCCTTGCTCATTTCAGAATCTGGATTTTTTTAATGATGCTAATACAGAATGGTTTCATTGGTTTCTGCTGTGGGTTGATTTGACTCATTGGCCAATTGGGCCAAGCTGTGTTGGGGCTCTGGAAAGAGTCACGAGTTTTCATTATTATCTTTTTAGCCTTCTGTAAGTATCCTTTCTGTATTCTTTAGTATAGTATAGTTTACTATTCTTTAATATAATATAGTATCATAAAATAATAAATTAGCCTTCTGAGAACATGGAGTCAGATTCATCATTCCTTCCTTTGTCTGGGGATCCCTGTAAATACAATACCTGAATTTCTTCACACTGTTTTTTCTGGGGACTTGTCACCAACAAGCTCATGAGAAGATAAGTGGCTGGACTGAAGATGCACAATAAATCAAGCAAATGCAACAATGAAGAAATGCTCAGGAGACACTTCCCTTCTCCATCAGCATCTGTCTTTTGGCATCATGAGCTTCTGTGACTGACAGCATCCACTGATGCCAACAACAACCCAAATTTGTTGGCACTGGAGCATATTCTTACAATTTCTCTTTCTTCTTCAGATGAAGTACGGGCTGGCACCTTCCGGGAACTTTTTCACCCAGAACAGCTGATCACTGGAAAGGAAGATGCGGCCAATAATTACGCCCGTGGCCACTACACCATTGGCAAGGAAAGCATTGATATGGTGCTGGATCGTGTCCGTAAGCTGGTAAGTCCCAGTAGCTCTGAAACAGCAGTTTGGACTCTGCAGAAGAAAGAAGGGCAGAACTAACAGCTTGTTAATTGCAAATGATACCAATGGTTCAGCAAAGAGATTGCAAGTGGTACAGATGGTATCTTGGACATGGTGTAGAAGAGAGAAGCCCAGTAGTTCACTTCCCAGCTGCATGCCTCCAGGCTTTTTTATAAAGTGGTTATGAATATGTAATTTTTAATTATTAGCACAGCCCTTCAGCACCAATACTGATACTGAAGGGCGGATTATGCAGTTGTACATTGCTGGTTTCAGCTAGAGTAAGAGAGCAGTGTGAAGTTCAGACAGAGAGAGGCCTGGACAGGTCCCTATGTCTTAAGTTGAGAGAGTGAGGAAAGCAAAGGTTGGAACTATCACCAGCCCTTTCCCAGGAAATCTTGACATGAAATCTATGCTGTATACTGCCTATGACTGCTCACTCCTTCAGCTCAGGAGAAGATCACATAGCAAAGTCTTTTCCTCCTTTTTCAGCCGCTGCTGTTTCACTTTCTCTTTTGCTTTCTAGACCGATGCCTGCTCTGGGCTGCAAGGATTCCTGATCTTCCACAGCTTTGGTGGCGGTACCGGCTCCGGATTTACCTCCCTGCTGATGGAACGCCTCTCTGTGGATTACGGAAAGAAGTCCAAACTGGAATTCGCCATCTACCCAGCCCCTCAGGTCTCCACTGCTGTGGTGGAGCCCTACAACTCCATCCTGACCACGCACACCACGCTGGAGCACTCGGACTGCGCCTTCATGGTGGACAACGAGGCCATCTACGACATCTGCCGCCGCAACCTGGCCATCGAGCGCCCCACCTACACCAACCTGAACCGCCTGATCAGCCAGATCGTGTCCTCCATCACCGCCTCGCTGCGCTTCGACGGCGCCCTCAACGTGGACCTGACGGAGTTCCAGACCAACCTGGTGCCCTACCCGCGCATCCACTTCCCGCTGGTCACCTACGCGCCCATCATCTCCTCGGACAGAGCGCACCACGAGCAGCTCTCGGTGGCCGAGATCACCAACGCCTGCTTCGAGCCCAACAACCAGATGGTGAAGTGTGACCCGAGGCACGGCAAGTACATGGCCTGCTGCATGCTCTACCGCGGCGACGTCGTCCCCAAGGACGTCAACGTAGCCATTGCTGCCATCAAGACCAAGAGAACCATCCAGTTTGTCGACTGGTGTCCAACTGGCTTCAAGGTGAGTAGGGCTTCTCTTGAGTGTTGAAAGGGGAGGTTCAGTCTAGTAGAAAACTTGTATTCTTAAAGTTTTCTAGCAGAAAAATTATATTCTTAAAGTTTTCTAGCAGCAAACTTGTATTTTTAAAGTTTTCTAGCAGAAAAATTATATTCATAAAGTTTTCTAGCAGAAAACTTGTATTCTTAAAGTTTTCTAGCAAACTTGTATTTTTGAAATTTCCTAGCAGAAAAATTATATTCGTAAAGTTTTCTAGCAGAAAACTTGTATTCTTAAAGTTTTCTAGTAGAAAACTTATATTTTTAAAGTTTTCTAGCAGAAAACTGTATTTTTGAAGTTTTCTAGCAGAAAAATTGTATTTGTAAAGTTTTCCAGCAGAAAACTTGTATCCTTAAAGTTTTCTAGCAGAAAAATTGTATTTTTGAAATTTTCTAGTAGAAAACTTTTTTTTTGAAGTTTTCTAGCAGAAAACTTGTATTTAAAGTTTTTTATCTTGCCTACTTCTCCTATATCCCCCAGAATATGGGGGAATATAGATATTTCCCAATGAACATAAGGATGCTTTTATATAAAATGTGTCTTTTCTCCTTTGGACATCCCATTACATATTTAAATAAATGAAAGTTCAAAGTGTGTATGGGTTAAAATTGAAAGAAGTTTTAATTTCAGACCTGACCTCTGGAACAGCCAACGAGCGTTGCCTCTGAGGCACAATCTAAAATTGAGGAAATACCAAAGCTGATAAAATTAATAAAGGAAATGCTGATATTAGGGAATCTCTTAGTTAACCTAAAAATATTACACAGCCTCTCCCCACTGGTTACACAGCAGTGTCTGGAAATACATTTTCAGCAATAATACAGACACTACCAGCAGAAAAGTATTTGTCATACAAACAGCTCCTTCAAAAATGAAAACCTCCAACTGGGAACCAACTTTTTAGATTAGTTTCTACAGAGTACCTTGGTGAAACTCTATGTTCAGTAGGTGTTAAGAAAGCTACGAACTGGTCAGTGTGCATTAAACAGTAGAATAGTAGATATTAGAGCGTGTTTTGTGCTCTTTGACATTTGACATGGCATTTGCCATCTGGCACCAGCACCTGTAACTTCACTCACCTTTCTTCAGCTCCTTGACTGCCTCCTGCTCCTGCTGTTGTCCAGCCTTCTCTCACATCCCTGTTTCCAGGTTGGGATCAACTACCAGCCTCCTACAGTGGTTCCTGGCGGAGACCTGGCCCAAGTTCAGCGGGCAGTGTGCATGCTGAGCAACACCACGGCCATCGCCGAGGCCTGGGCCCGCCTGGACCACAAGTTTGACCTGATGTACGCCAAGAGAGCTTTTGTGCACTGGTACGTGGGGGAAGGCATGGAGGAGGGAGAGTTTGCAGAGGCCCGAGAGGACCTGGCTGCCCTGGAAAAGGACTATGAAGAAGTGGGAACTGACTCGTTTGAAGAAGAGAATGATGGGGAGTGATTTTAAAATACATTTTGTTCCTGGTGAGCACAGAATTGTCTCTGTACTGCATGTGTCAACAATTAGCTCAGATTTTCTGCACCTTGTAAACATAAATTTAGGAGAGGACATTTTTTTATTACATAAATGACAGGCAAATTATCCTGTAAGATACAATCAGCTGTAGTAATGCCCCACCACTCCCAGTAATGTAAAAAGATTTGCTCTCCCTTGCACACTTAATGTGAGCCTCTCTAAGCTCTAGTGAACATGAAAAACTCACTACATTCCACGTAGGTTATCCCAAAAAAGCTGCAGAACGCTGCTTCCTGCTCCTGCATAAGAGCAGCAGAGCCAACAGGGACACCACAGACAGCTGCCCAAGCCAGGATTCTGTGGAATCCACAGTCAGCTACGACACTCTGCGGGATATTTGAAAAGTCATGGCAGTCAGGTGAAGTCCCAGGGGACTGGAAAAAGGGAAACATTGTCCCCAGTGTTAAAAAGGGCAGAAAGGAGGGTCCTGGTGGCTGCCAACCTCTTGGCCTCACCTCTGTACCTGGGAAGTGCATGGAAGAAGTCCTCCAAGAAGCTGTGCTAAGGCATAAGGAGGGCGGATTTAACTGGATGCTCATGGAAAAATTAACTGGGCACTTAAGCATGAAGTACCTAGGTGCTCATGCATAAATTAATTGGGAATTTATTAACACCTCTGTGCAACAAATGAGATATTGTCTCGCTTTTTGATTAGGTTCTCCTGCATGCATTTGTGACCCTCCTTGCTCATTTCAGAATCTGGATTTTTTTAATGATGCTAATACAGAATGGCTTTTAAGAAGGACTTGCCTATAAAAATAAGGCAATTCTTAGAAATACCCAAGTTGCCTTTCTTTCAAGACTGAACTTTCAGACCTTTCTGGGACTGATTCTGCCAGATATTCCTCTCAAAAAGTAAGATAATATCTCTCCTTTGTTCACAATTCTGTTCATAAATTATCAGTTAATTACTGCATGAGTGTTAATTACCTCACTTTTCCCACCCTTTCCCCCTCATATTTCTCATCCTTTTTCCACCTCATGTTTTCTGCCCCTTTTTCACCTCACATTTCCCACCATTTTTCATTTCACATTTTGCACCATTTTCTTTTTCTCTCTTTTTCTGCCCTTTCCCCCTTCTGCTTAAATATTTCAAATGTTGGAAAGAGGGGGATTTTTTTCCTCAATTAAACCTTAAATAATGGAAAAGGCAAGTTTTCCTTTAACTGATACCCTTAAAATCACAGGTGAAGGGTGACTCCCTGCAATTTAAACACATGCAATAATGAAAAAGGAGGTTTTCTCCTCAATATAAACCCCTTTTCCATCAAACCCCTCTTTTGTCTGGGGTCACTGGGGCACACTAGGGAGGGACTGGGGGCACTAGGCAGGGGACCAGAGGCACTGGGATCGGACTGGGAAGATAAATTCAAAAAGAGAAAGAAAAAGGATCTTCCCTGCACTGCCCCACCTGCTCAGGTGTGCTGCTCCCCTCTCCTGCATTCCCTGGGGCACAGGGATTGTCCCTGTGCACACCTGAGCAATGCCAGGAGCACCCAGGGGCTCCCCTGCCCTGCAAATGCTGCCACTGCTGTCCTTGGAGAGATTCCCGGAGATCACCCAGTGCAGCAGGAACAGGAACCCCCTGAGAGCAGCCCTGGGCAGGGGGGGCCCTCCTCATCCTCCCTGAGCACACCCGGGGCTGCTTCACCCCTCTTCAACCACACCTGGAGCTTCCCCATCCTCCTCATCCTCCCTGAGCACCCCGGGCTGCCCTGGACACTGATTTACGGAGAGATTTCCCTAAATCCCACTGGGAGTCTCACTCAACCAGCCCAGCAAACCTTTCCCCTTTTCACATTACACCTGAGGCCGGCTGAGAGGAAGAAAACCAGAACACCGTCCAAAAGTTACCGGGATGGGCCGGGATGGGGTATCCCACAAAGCCCGGGCTGGATTTGCACGGAATACCGAATGGGGGAAAACACGGACTGGGTTTTTTTCCCGGAATACGGCATGAGGAAAAACCTGGACTGGATTTTTTTCCCTGGAATTCGGACTAGGGAAAAACCCGGACTGGATTTTCCTATAATATGGAATGGGGAAAAACCCAGGCTGGATTTTTTTCCCTGGAATACTGAACAGGGAAATACCCGGACTGGATTTACCTAGAATATTGAATGGGGGCAAACCTGGACTGGATTTACCTAGAATATGGAATGGGGAAAATCATGGACTGGATTTTCCCACAATACAGAATGGGGGAAAACCCAAACTGGATTTTTTTTTCCGCGGAATATGGACTGGGGGAAAACCCAGACTGGATTTTCCTGTGATAGAGAATGGGGGAAAACCTGGACTGGCTTTACCCGGACTGGATTTTCCTGTAATACGGAATGGGGGAAAACCCAAACAGCATTTTTTTTTCCCTGGAATACGGAATGGGGGAAAACCCGGATTGGATGTTTTTTCCCCCAGAATACAGAATGGCGAAAAACCTGGACTGGATTTTTTTTCTCCAGAATATAGAATGGGGAAGAATCCGGACTGGATTTTTTTCCTGGAATACGGAACGGGAGAAAACCCGGACAGGATCTTCCTAGAATAGCAAATAGGGAAACCTGGACTGGATTTTCCCAGAATATGGAATGGGGGGAAAGGGGGTTTGATCCCAGACTTCTGTACAGAGGTGTACAGCAGAAATGATGTTCCTAAACCAAGAAAACCAAATTGTTCCAGCAGTGGACGCTGCTCAAACACTCAACCATGGCTGGAACCACCCAGGTGCCGTAAGAGACGGGATTGTTGGTGCTCACGGCTTGAACAATCTCTGGGTGCTTCCCCAGGGATGCCCGAGGGGCCTCCCCGGTGCAGAAGGGGAGGCTTCAGCCTGGCTTTCCAGATAAGGAAGGGGCTGATAAGAGGCGGATCCTGCGGGGTGGGATAAATCCTTGTCATGCCTCCTTTACACAATGACTCAGCTGTGAAAACTCCTCTCCGAAGTACTGGGACACTTCAAATGAGGCAATTCCTGTCGGCTGATTTGCCATGACGCTGGCTGTGGATTTCCTAACTTCCCGAAGGCTTTTTAGATCTCATCCTGACCACCAACATTTCCATTTATTTTATTTGCAAGGACACTCAGTAATCAGGAGCCCTGCTCTTGAAGCAGTCACTGCACTTTTTGGAGCTATTTGGACATTAGGGGTGCCGTGGCAATTACCAGGAGCTGCTTTTGTCCAAGGGGCAGTGTGTTTGGACACTCAAACACTGCACCTTTCAGGCTGAGCCATTCTTTGAGCCCATTTTCTGGACTCAGACTCCTGCCTGCTGCCTGCTTTGGAAGTGCCTGTCACGACTGAGTTGCGCAGGCAAAGCTTAAAACATTCCTAAAATGTAATTCTCCTCCTAACTGAGCGCTCAGGCTCTCACAGGGGTCATTACCAAAACCTGTTTCAACTGCATGCTGCTTTACTAACTTCCACCTGGCAGATCTGGCTCCTGTTTAACCTCCAGTGTCCTTTTGCACTTTGCTCAAGTGGTTTCGTTCTTTCTGGGCAATTTATGGCTTAGAAGTTCTCCTCTCTCCCTTCCTTCCTTCTGTCGGGCAGTCGCCACACAAGGCAGTAATAGAAAGGGAACATCATTAAATTTAAACTATTGCTGAGAGCCTCTGCCACAAACCAAGACACTGAGTCATTTGTGCCCTTCTGCTCAGAAGTCCCTGCAGATACCCACATCCCTCGGTGACTATTCAGGACAGTTTTCACTGTCCCTGTGCCTCGACTGAAGACCTCGGACTGCTCCGACAGAGCCAGGCAGGGTGAGCAGGTTCCCCATTACCTGCCCAGGGGGTTTGCTGCTGAGGAGAACTCTCTGTGTGTAGACACACAAGGTTTGATTCCATTTTCAGAAGGCTGGTTTATTATCTTATATATTAAACTAAAATGTTACATAAAAACTATTACTAAAAGAACAGAGAGAAAAGAAAGATCAGAAGGTTACAAAGATCAAGAATAGAATACAATGCGTAACAAAATCCTGTGACTGCTCACAGCCTCAGCACAGATGGCTGTGATTGGTCATCAGTTGAAAACAATCCACATGGACCAATGGAAGATGCACCTGTTGCTTTCCACAGCAGCATATACTTATTGTTTACATTTCTTTCCTGAAGCTCCTAGCTCTTCAGCAGGGAAAAAATCCTAGGAAAGGATTTTTAATAAAATATCACAACTACAGTTTGCAGCTGGGACCTCTCCACAAGGACCGCCCTGAAGGGCTCCAGATAACCCAGTGAAAGCCCCCCGTGCAGTCTCCTCCCCACGGCTCAGCCAAGCCGGGTGGGCGCTGCACAGGGATGGAGCGCCGGCTGTCCTCACCTGCGTGCGGACAGCTCAGCCTCACAAAGCTAAGCGCTCCGCATCGAATGACACAGCAGCGGCGCTGAACCCCCCTCGTCCCTTTTCTCCCAGCCCCCTCCGTGCCGGGAGGCGGCGCAGGGCGGCTCCGAGTTTCACTTTCTGTGCCCGCTCCCGGCCGAGCGGGAAATGAAAACTGCGCGGCGGGGCGGGCGCTGCCGCTGCCTGACGCGCCGGGGCCGCCCCGCTCCGCTCCGCCCCGCTCCGCCCGCTGTCCTGCCGAACCCCGCAGCCCTGCCGAACCCCGCAGCCTTGCCGAACCCCGCAGCCCTGCCGCTCTCCCGGAGGAGCGGCCCCTCCGCGGGGCAGACGCGGTGCGCCGTCCGCCGCTGCCCCGTGCCCCTGTGAGCGAGGATTGGTAAGAAGCGTTTTGCTGGTTTGTGAGGATGGTTTTGCTGGTTTGTGAGGATGGTTTTGCTGGCTTGTGAACCTGGCAGGAGCGAAGGAAATAGAGAGGGAAATAATTACGGAGAGTAGTTCGGCAGCTAAGTGGGGAATCTTTCAGCCGCATCCCATCCAAGTGTGGAGGTGATGCGCTCTTAGGTGCTTCCCTCCCCTCAAGGGTGGGTTGTCACGCTGAGTCTCTGCTGGAGCCAGCACCTCAGGGGAACCATAGAAGCATAAAATAGTTTGGGTTGGAAAGGACCTTGAAATCATCTCGTTCCATCCCCCGTGCTGAGGGCAGGGACACCTTCCACGAGAATGGATTGCTCAGAGCCCCATCCAGCCTGGCCTCCCTGCTGCAGCCCACCGCCAGCCCAGGATCCCCAGGAAGGAAAAGGAGCTGACAGGGAAGGGATGACAAGGACCAGAGGTGGGAGCCCCTCTCGGGCACAGGGCACGGGGACAGCTCGGGGTTTGTCGTGAGAAGCCGGTGTCCTGGAAGGGCAGATGGAGACTGGAGCAGGGCAGGGAGAAAGGGAGGGCGCTGGGCTGGCAGAGGGAGAGGAGTGTGAGGGTAGGTGATGATGGGCTGGAAGGTATCACTGCTCCCTGTTCTCTGCCCAGTGCTGGTGCCAGCCGGGGCACTGAGGTACCGTCCTACCCCTGCAAAGGAAACCAAGGACCAAACTGCTCCCCCAGTGAGAGAGGAGAAATGAGGGGCAGGAGGAGAGCCCGCTGCTCAGTTCCTTTCCTCACTCACCAGCTGTTTTATATACCTGTGCAGGGAAAAGGAGGTCAAGTGCAAGTCTTAGGAAGGCTGTATTCCTGATAGCCAAAATGAAGAGGTTCTAAGGGTTGGGAAGTTCTGTTTGTGTCCCTGCTCCCACAACAGGATCCCCAATATTGGTGACTGGGAGAAAATTTCATGGAACCAGAGACACAAATCCCCCTGCACCTTCCTGCCCTAAGGTCTTTCTACCTTTTCCTCGAGCCACCCAAAGCCATTCAGTGCTTGCTCTTTAATCCCACACTTAGTCCTCCCTTTTCTGACAAAACCTGTGTCTTGCAGGCTTGTTTTATCCCCAGCACATCCCTAGCTATGTTTAGCTACCTCTGCCCTGCCTGCCCCTCTCCTTTCCATCTCTTTCACCATCCCCACATCCCTTACCTCCTGGCTGATCCTGCACCAGCTAAACTCCAGCTCAGCTTTCAGAAACCTGAACCTGTCGTTAAATCATCTCCAAGAAAACAGGCATTCTCTATTCAGGCTCTATTTTGGCAAGGGAGAAATCAGATGAAATTTATCTTTTCCTGCGTAGCTGTTCTAATCACCGTGTTTGGGTATAAAAAGTAATGCTCTTGAATCTGTCTTTCAGAGTTTGGGTTTTTTCCCCCCCAAAAAGACTTTTCAGCAAATGCGACAGTATTTGGTGAATCTTAGTGTGTGACACTTAGAGCTTAAAAGCAATCTTCAAAAGTAAACAATCAAAAGTAGAGTTGCAAATATATATACTTAAGCTTAAAGGTAATAATCAGGGAAAAAAAATCCATTTCTAGCTTTTCTGCCTGAATCTGCAGTAACTTTGATATTTGACACTATTAGGCATAGTTAACCCTAACCCATGCTTTTAAAGCAAAGACTTATTTTTTTTTTTTTTTTTAAATGAAAGACAGAACCAGGATTTTGCTTATTTCCCTTTCTTAGTTGCTTTTCTTCATTCTTTCAGTGCTCGGCCTTAGGTTGATTTTATGCACTGTTTAATATTTGTAAAATAATAATTTCTGAGCACTTTTTGGGTCTCCCTCCCTCCCCTTCCCCGTGAATATCCGCTTTTTTCTGATTCTGCCTCCATGTTGGCAACGGGCTTTTAGAAAGTTTCATTTTTGCGTAGTTGCACTTGAACTTTTATCAGATTGTTTTGTTTGTGTATTTTTATTTTTCTTGAGTAGCTGAGTCCCAGGACTGTCAGAGTAATGGTCTGCTGAATACCCCCTTAAAAATCAAGGCATTATAATGGTCGTCTTGCATGAACAGTTACTTTGCCTGTGATCACTTGAAGGAACAGAAAAAGAAACAGCTATGCTGGTACTTAAATATCTTTCAAAATTACAGTCCAAAGTGCCACAGTAGTGCTGTGACTCAGGCACGGAAAACCAACGCAGGGAGCCCAGCACAGAAACCAAAGGTGCTCATCTGGCCAGAAGAGAAAGGTGAAACTTGACCTTTTCAATACTTGGGCTACTTTTTTTTTTTTTTTTTTTTTTTTTTTAAATAAAATAGTGCTTTTTCCAAACAGAGGAGTTCTGCAACGTCTGCTTTTGGGCAATTTTAATAATCTTATTTACCAAATCTTCCCGAACAGGGATATGTGGAGTTCCTTGGCTAGATGGAGCTGTTCCTGTGGAACTGAAGGCTCATTTATTTATTTAGTCACAAGAGGAAGACAGGATGAGCAGCTGTGTCAGACTTGCACACCTCTACACCCGTGTTAATTCAAATATCCCACATGCTCTTGCAGTAATACTGATTTTATTGATATTCCAGGCCAGGCTGGAATATTAATTCTGGTCTAGTGGGTGACATCCCTGCCTGTGGCAGGATGTTGAAATTAGATGATATTTAAGTTTCCTTTCCAACCCAAACCATTCAGTGTTTTTTTGACTTCACCTTTTTCACAATGAAAAGGGATTTTTCATAATGAAAAGGTCTCCTTTGTCCTTGAGCAGTTTTGTTGATGGGACAAACCAGTGGACGTGAAGAAAGAAGCAGGAAACCAGAGGTGGCACCAAGCAAGATCATGGAGGCAGAAATTGAAGTACAAAATAACAAAGAGGAACCCAAAGAGGTGAAGGCCAAAAACCAGAAGCTGACATCAGTCTTTGGTCTGGCAGACTTAAAAAATGGTAAAAATGTTTTGCCAGTTCTTCCCTGTCATATTTTCTGTTTCTCATGCCTGCTGTTCCGTTCCCTGTCCATAGGCCTAATATTCTCCTATTCCTTGTCTCTTCACTGAGGAATATACAGATGATTCTCATTTTGCCTTGCCAAGTAACCATTTTGAGTTTTTTTAGAATGGAATACATTAAGATCTCAGAGCTTTTTCCATATTTAAGTCCTCAAATTTGCCATTGCAGCCAAAAAGTGCCCTGCTGCTGGCTCAGTCTCTCCCCAAACACAGCCAGCATTGCTGGATTTGCTAAACCATGGACTAGACCCTGGTTATTCTCCTCATACAGGCAGCCTTTGCCTCCTGTTCCATTTTATGTTTAGGTGTGTTATGAGAGAAATGAAAAAGGGGAGCTGGGAGAAATCTGAGAATCATTAGCCAGGCTTACTTGGATTTTCTTCTGTCAGGTACCAAACAAAACCAAATGTTATCTGGTCCATCAACAGGAGAATAGATTGAACACTTTATCAGGTCTGACCAAGACGCTGAGCCTGTACACTGAATGTGCACAAGAAGAGTTTGCCACTTTCAAATAACTTTCACTTTCTTTTCTTGTACCTATCCCCAGGCCTCACTTCATCTTTTTCTCCCCTGCAGAAGCAATTGGACTGTACAACCTGGGGCAGAGCTGCTGTCTGAACTCTCTGCTCCAAGTGTTCCTCATGAACATACGCTTCACAAGGATACTCCGAAGGTACCTCCTCTTTGAGCTCCCTGGGGTGTTTCCATGGCTGCACTCTGCTCTCCACTCCTTCTTTTATATGGGATGTGCGTTTGAAAGGTTTGGATCACTGAGGTGCTATCAGGATGCTTTTGGTCCCTCAGCAAGGTCTCTGCCTTGTTGTGTCTGTCATGCACTAACAAGCCCTGCAAAGGCAGAAGTTGAAGTGTTCAGACTTGTTAATCATCTCTGATTCATGTCCTGAACTGACTCTATGGCTTGTGTCTCTCTTTTCCCTAACAGGATATATATAATTTATATATATAGATATATATATAAAAATTGCAATTATAACTATAATTATAATTATATTATTATATAGCTAGAATAATTATATATAGTAATTATATTTACGTAATTATATTTATATAATCATATATACATATATAAAAATTATTATATAATTATATAGGTATAATAGATATATATAGATTATATCGATATAATAATTATATATAGTGATTATATTTATTTAATATATCTATATATTATATAAATAGTATAATATATAATAAATATATGTAGTTTATCATTATATATTATACAATATATAATGTGACTATATGTAATTTATATATAATAAATATACACAAATATATAAACATATATAAAATATATAAAAATATATGAATAAATATATATATATAATTTAAAAAATATATATAGTTTTGTTGCAGGTTTACTCACAGGCCTTATAATAAAGGATGTGTCATGTGTAGCCATATCCACCATTAATTTTGTCACTTGAAGCACGTAAACACAAACATACCCTAATCTCTGGCCTCTGGGCCCTGGCTAGCCCCTGACAGAGAAGTGTTGCTGCAGATCATGAATACCTGGCATTTCTTTGTTTTGCTTGACTGCTGTCCCTGTGTGTTTTGAGGAGGATTTGGGCGTCTGTCTCCCTACTGACCACACTAATAACTGGTTTGATTTGTTTTCAGTTTACTCACTTCACTGCAGATTTAGTCATCTAAGTGGATCATTCCTATTCAGTCCTTTCTTACACGCTCTCTGCTGAGCAGAGGAGAAAAGAGAAATTTCAGACACGCAGAAATGATAAGTGTCATAAACGGCCAAGGCTAAATAATGTAGACTGTAGGTTACCATGCTTATTTGAAGAAAGAAAAACCTTTGCTCTATAGTGAATTTAGGGAGAACGAAGAGTTTTTGTTGGCATATTGTTGGCATATTTTGTTGGCAGTTGAAATACAAGCATTATGATATACGTGCCCAAGAAATTCTCAGGGCATGTTGAGAGTGAGGACATCAGTGGGTGGGAGGCAAAAAAGGTCTGGAACTGGCTGTAACTAATGTTGTTTCTAGAGGCCAGAAAGCAATTGATGTCCTGCTGGGCTTGTCTCTTATTCAGGAGCAAGCCAACTTAAAATTTTGGCCTTTTACTTTAGAACTGTCAGCCTGCACTGTGGGATTCCCTTTTTCCCTTCTTTTAGCTGAAAACATTCCCATCCTGGTTCCTCTAGAGCTGCTGTCTCTGCTCCTGACCTGTGCTCCTTCAGGTGTGGTGTCTGACATTTCTCCATGGAACCTCTGATCACCACTGGTGTTGCTTCTTCCCCTTCCAGGATCACAGTGCCATCATCTCCTGCTCAGAGGAGGAGCAATGTCCCGTACCAAATGCTCCTGCTGCTGGAGAAGATGCAGTGTGGCAAGTGCAAAGCTGTTGGTCCCACAGACCTGGCTCGCTGCCTCTCAGAGCACAGAGTGGAATGTAAGCAGCCCTGCCTCGTGCCCACCTCTGCCTGCATTATTCCAAGCAGCCCAGACTCCAACATCTCCTCCGGGAATTCAGAAATGCCAGGAGTTAGATGCACAGTGCTCCTTGTAGCTGCCTCCCAGCTGAGTGCAATGTGCAATGCTGTGTCTTGCTTGTGAAGAGAGGAAAAACAAACCCTGCTGGATGTATTTGCTGCTATCCAAAGGATGGGAGGACTATCAGACTGCTAGAAGATTCAGCTATGGATGCTGTGCAGGGCAGAGAGTTCATTGTTTGATTTGTTTTGCTGTACTGCATCATGATAGTGAAATAGCTGCTGTTACTTATTAGAAGAAAGGGATAGTGTGGAAAAGAGAATGTGTTTGCACAGATCCCCCTCCTGCTCCTTCTTATAAGGGCAGAGAGAAGAATTTGCAGGCTAAATGTCCCAGCTGGTCAAAGTTCTAAAAGAGAGAGGTTTTTAATGCATGAGTGACAAAAGGCAATGGGATGCCAAGAGTCTGTCTATGTACAATTCACAGGGTATAACCAAATGCCCTTATCTTTGTCATATAAAAGCCCAAAGAGCAGTTTTCAGAACTGAAAAGGGAGGTGCCCTGACCTTTATGAAAGGGGAACACAAAATAAACTCAGTATCCCTGTTTGCATAATTTTTCTCCTGACTCTGTGTGGCTTTGCAGTCAGCCATGTCTCTTCCAGTTAAAGAGAGAGAGGGATCAAGGGATTTATCCTGTCTGGTGTGTGAGACATGGACAGGCCCTGCTGTCATTTTAATCTCAGCACTCAGGAGCATTTTAGCCTTCTTGGGGCATGAGGGGATGGGAAAAAACAGGTCTGTGGAGTAATAAAGGTGAAAAAGAAAACAGAATCTTCCCTGTATTGTTTCTGAGGAGGATTCAAAGGGGATTGTTCACAAGGGCATGGTAGGACATGTGGCACAGAAGTGATAGGATAAAGGGTTATGGCTTGAAGTGTAAACCAGCTTGAGAGCTGGTTTAGATTGAATATTGGGAAGAAATTTTTTACTGTGGTAGTGGTGAGGCACTGATGCAGGATGCCCAGAGAAGCTGTGGCTGCTGTGTCCCTGCGAGTGTTCAAGGCCAGACTGGAAGGTGTTTGCTGGTCTAGTGGGAGGTGTCTTTGCCCCTGGTGGGGGGAGTGGAACCAGATGAAGTTTAGGGCTCCTTCCAACCCAAACCATTCTCTGATGCTATGAAATGCACCCCCCAACTCAGTGAGCCATCTGAGCCCTCCCCTGGTGGGTATTGAGCATCCTCTTGTCCCTGCACCTGGTGACAAGGACACGGGTTTGGCACTGGGTGGTACAAACACTCCTGTCTTTTCCCACTGCCTGCTCAGGTCACATGGAGAAATTGCAGCTGGAGCCCATTCTAAGCCCTGTCTCTGCAGGGAGGAGCAAGGGACAAGAAACTGGGTCTGAGGGGGGAAAAAAAAATCTCCCTTTGCCATTTGTGGGAAATCTGTGCCTGGTGCTGTTCATGATGCTGACTGAGGTTGTGTTTTCTGCTCGTGCAGTGTTTGTGCAGCATGATGCTGCTCAGCTCTTTCTGACTCTCTGGAACTTGTTAAAGAAGCAGATGAAAAAGGCAGAGCTGGTAAGGATGGAGACTGAAATGAACCTTTGCCCCTTATCACGTGTGGTTTCCTCTGCTCCTTGAAGAATCCCATTCACTGGCAATTGTCCTAAGTTAAAGTTTTAAAATGATCTCTTCTTTCATTGCATCTTTGTTTCATAAGCTTTAACATTTGGAATCACAGTTAAGTTTTGCTCATCCTGCTTTCAGGGCATGCCAATCTCCATTCTAATGGGAGAGCTGATTAATAACTAAGAGACTGATCTTTTTGCAGCATTGTATTTAGTTATATTTAATTCCTTTTCCCCCCAAATTTCTGTAAGCAGTTGTTGGTATATCTTGACACAGCTTTTCCATTCTTTGAAGTCAGCCATGTGCATTTCACTCTAATTAGTCACTGATGGTGTGTGATGTATATAACAGTTCCTCCCATGGGACTGGGAAGAGAAAAGTGACTCTTCCCTGACTGTTTTAGTCACAAAAAACAGGCTCCTGTTGCAGTTTCAAGCAAAACAGAACAATTCTGCATCAAAGCAGGTCTGGTCTTACAGGCTGTGTCTTTCCCCTCTGTTAGGGAATGAAGGGAAGGAGTTTTCTCCTTTAAATTGTGGGAAGTACCCTGTCCTCATAAGTCATTGCACATCTTGGTTCCAACCTCAAGGAAATTCAATATTCAAAGGAATAACCTTGCTTGAAATGTGTGACCACAGGGGCTTTCCCACCCACAGAGAAACAGCTCAGCTGTCTTCTCCATAAACCTTGTTTTGGCCTTTTTTTCCCACCCCTCAGGTGGAAGAGCTTTGTGATTTGTACACGATCTGCATACAGGAGCACGTGGCCTGTCAGAAATGCTCTTTTGAAGTGAAGAGCAAAAGCACCATGTTAACCCTTCCACTCCCAGTGCTGGATGCCCATTCTCACAGGCTGAAGACTCTGGTAAGTTTAGCAGCAGCATTTTTTCCTTAGGAGATGATTCCCCTCTGTTCATACTGGATTTTTCAAATGCCAGTGGACCTTATAGTTTCTCTGACCACTTTACACTGTTTCAGCATAAAGGAGCTGCTTTGAAAACCTTTAAGGCTTTGAAGTATGTATAAAAGACATATATACATCAATACCTTCTTTGTGGAACATGTGTACCCCTTTTTTTCCAACTATTGTAATCACAGCAGAAGCTAGGAGAAAATGAGATACCTTTTATTTTCGTCCTTTGAATAAAACATGCCTTCTGTAACTTTGCTGTTTGCTTGGACCCTCTGAAATAATGTAGAAATAAAAACCCAGCTGAAGGAGTTCAGCTGAAAGAAGTCTCTGTCTTCTTAGGAGGACTGTCTGCAATACTTCTTCCATCCAGAGGAGCTGAGTGGACAAAACATGTGTTTCTGTCAACAGTGTGGGAGGAAAACAACTTTTCTGCAGGTAACTGGAGAATTATTTCTCCATGTCTCATACCCAGAACTCCCTTGAGCACTGGGGAGGGTGGGGAAAAGACTCAACCATAGGAAGTTCAAGGGGAGATCAACAACTGAGATTTGCCAGCACGTCAGCGTCAGATGAACTTCAGGGAAGTTGATTTGCCTCTAGTGCTACCAGCATGGGGCTAGGAGAGCACACAAGAAGTGAAGCAGCCCTTGAGACACCCTAGGCTGGGTGCTGATGACACTAAAGCTGAGAAACTTGGCTGTCACAGCTCTGTCTTGTGTGGGCTACAGAGGCTTGGCATCTGCTGTCCCGTGGAACTGGCAAACATTCCCTGGAGAGCTGGCTCTTCTCCATTCTGCACACACTGGGTGGCAGTGGCTGTTGGCACCCTGCCTCCCCGGGGTTTGGCCCCAGTTTTCAGCTGCATTATTGATTGCTTTACAGAGCATGAAGCTCGTCCATCTGCCACAGACCCTGACCTTGCACCTGAAGCGCTTCTGCTTTGAGAGATCCTCTCGCACGCACAAGCTGAGTCACTACCTGCCATTCCCACAAGAGCTTGATCTCAGGCAAGTCCTGACAGAAAGTCAGTGCCAAGCAGATGACAGTGAAAAGGTGAGATACTCCTGTTCCAAAAGGGCAGATTTTCTTCTCCTCTCTGCTCCAGTCTCAGAAAAATTTAAGAGATCGCACCAATACTTATTTCAGTTCAAAGTACCAGTCTCAAAAATTTGTGTCTCAAACTTCACCTGTGCCTGGTGTTCTCTCACATCCAATAGTTTTCACTGATTCAGCCATTATTCAACATTCTGTGCTCAGATTAAATCACCAAAGGCACCATAACTGGAGCTTCCTGCTTAAGGACAAAAGCCAGGCTTTGCAGATCTCGCCTGTCCTAGAGAGAGGAACTCTGTTCCTGGTATTTCCCATGAGTATTCTTGGTATTGTTGGCCACAGAGTTTGGTACTGTTGGCCACAACAGCTTTGCTAGGTAGCTGAGATGGATGTGCCCCACTGTGGGTCTGTTTCTCTTCCTGGGAAATAACAAGGGGAAGTGTGGCCACAACAGAAGGCACTGCTGCAGGGCTGGCTGTGGTGAACCTCTTTGCTGCTCCTTTGCTGTCCTGCTGCCTTTTCCACAATCCTCTGGTCTCCAGGGAGGCTGCCAGCCCACAGCTGCTGGGCAAAACTGAGGGCAAGAGCAAAAAAGGGCAGGATTTTCAAGGCAAATCTGATCTTTTTTCCTTACAAAATTCACGTCCTTGCTGCCCTGGCTGCTGCTTCTCTACAGTCCAAGGCAGGTGAGAATTGCTGTACTGGAAGTTGCTCTTTGTGTCTCTTGGCAGGCTACCTGGCAGTATGAGCTCTTTGCCGTGGTTGCTCACTCAGGATCAGCCAGCTGTGGACATTACTGTGCCTACATTCGGAGCCTCACAGACTGTAAATGGTATTGCTTCAACGATTCTGAGGTGTGCCAGGTGAGCAGATCCAGCCACGTTTCCTGTGTACCTTTCTGGACACTCCTCCAGCTCTCACCCAGTCTGGCTGGTGCTAGAGAGAAGCAGGAAAGGCAGCTGAGGCTGCAGAGCTTTGCCCACCTCTGCTCCAGGATGCTCTGGGCTGAGGGCAGAGTGACTCTCACTTCTGCACCAAGCAAGGCCCCAGGTTCTGTTTTGTGTGGGATTCACGTTCTCTGAACCTGAGAGGAGCAGAGAAAAGAATGATCAAAACTATTCTTGTCTCATTTGCTGCTCCTGTGTTGTGCCAAAGTAGAGATTGTTTAGCCAGAGTGATGGGGCTTTGTTTCCTTGGCTGTGTCCAGACTGTCAGTCAGGAGACAGTCACAAGATTTTGTTCAGTTGAGTGCTTGTGCACTTCCAGTTTAGATGTAGTGTAATATAGTATAGAATAATATATTATGATAAAGTAATTAATTAGCCTTCTGATATCATGGAGTCCTGCTCGTCATTCGGGTGAGAATTAAACCAATAGTTTTGTGCATTGCAGAATGCAGAAGCATTCTGAATATTGCAGAATATTAAGGATATTTGCTGAATATCCTACTCAATGCACCCTACATCTGTTTAATGTATACCTTCAGAACTGCTTTTCCTCAAAGAGTAAAAGCAATAAACCAATTTATTGAAAGGTGTTTAGCTCCTGGAAGTGCCACTTATACCGCTCTTATGAGAGCTCCTGGGATGGTATCAGAATTTTTCCATCTCTTAAGAGTTTTTACCAGCCTCCTCCTGTGTGTTTTTCTTCTCTAGGTATCATGGGATGATGTTAAATGCACCTATGGACATTCCAACCTCTACTGGTATGTAAATGTATCCCTGATTTTTTTCCTAATGCTGCTCTGGACTTTGGAATGAGGGTAGCACAGAGAGGGGAGACAAACTGCTTTGGGAACATACTGCCTGGGGTGTACTGGGGATGCAGGAGCTGTGCCAGTCAGGATCTCTCCACGCTTTTTGTTTTGATGATGTAAGAAAATGAGCTTACAGGAGGGAGATAATCTCTCCTATAAACCACAGCACTGCCAGCAAATCTTGGGAACACTGGAGAGGGCCAGCTTAGTTGACCTAAAGCTCAGAAAGCTGAGCAGGAGCAATTCTGGGATGTCACCTGCAACCTAGATCTTCAAACATGCCTTGTGATGTGCTTTCTCTTTGCCTCCACAGGAGAGAAACAGCCTATCTGTTGTTTTACATGAAAAAGCAGGCTCAGCAGCCCTGGCCAGGAGTATCAGAGTGTCTCTGAAAGCTCTGCCTCTGTGCCAGTGAGGACATGCACTAAAGTTTCACAAGGAAGACATTCTGCACTCGGCAACCTCAGGCTTCACAGTTTGTGAAAGAAGAGCAGCAGACACTCGGCTAGGGAAAGGAACTGTTGCAACTAGAGACCTTTTCTTTAATGGTTTTTATATATTTATGTGACTCTACATGTTCATTTCCTCTTTAAAAGATGGTGAAGTCAGTCCTTGTCTCTGCTGCCTTACCATTTTCCCTAGTGCTGATGCCTGGATGCCATTCCAGGGAAAGTGCTTGGCCTGAGAGCCTGTGTGATGCTCCAGGGAGGTGTGTGCTATGACTGGAGAGCTGTGGGAACCATAGGGAGCCAGTAAGAGCTTGAGATTTACTCTGTCCTTTCAGCACCATGTTAGATGCTGGCAAGCTGGGCAGGAGACCCCAAAAATCACCCCAGAAACAACTGGGGGAAGGATCAGAACCCTTATGGCACACACATCAGTGGCACACACTCCTGAAAACCTCCCTGAAAAGGAATCACTGCAAGGGCTGAGATGTGTCAAGAAGTGTTTTAAATCAGGAGCTATCGGAGTTTCTGATTTCCAAGATGAGTTTGTTTAAATTTGTGCAGGTGATTATTATTTCAACAGGCTTATCAGGCTTTTAGATGCATTTTCTTTCCTGTAGAGGAAGATGTTCAGAGCAGCAGAGATTCTGAAGCTGGTTAGTGATTTTGCACAAAACAGGCCACAGGTGGTGATAAGGGAAGTGAGATGCCTTGATGTGCTTGGATTTTTGGGATTTTTGGTAGTGTGGCTTTTAAAACACTCTCGCTGATCCTCTTGGATTGAGGATCCCAGCAGTCTGGGATCTGGAAGTACCTGCACTCTAAGACACCCTGTGACTCTGTCTTTACAAAGGTGCTGTTTTTGTGGGATTGAGCAATTATGAAATTATATTAAAATTATATAAATGATATAAAACTATAAAAATAATGTAGATATACTTCCATCTGTGTATAACCTAGATTTGTTTTGGTAATGATGGTGAAGTTCACAAATCATGCCAATTTTATGAAGGTAAAGTGAAAAATCTTAGAGCATAGCTGTGAAATTAACTCTTTCATGGTGTAGCAGGTATTTATTTTGCTGTATTAGCAAGGTCCATTAATCTGTTCAGCTCTGTATTTGTATTATTTATTTTGTGGTAAAAAATCCCAGTGTATTATTTGCCATCAGGATGAGGAATTTTCAGCCTGTTCACCTTCAGGAATGCACTGCACCCTTTCTAGAGCATCTTGCAATGGGTGAGTAAGAAAAACTAGTTTCTGTTTGCTTTTCCTCTGTGAAGGAGTTGAAAAAAGCTGCATTTTTCTTAGCTAAACTAAGTTAATGGGATAAGAGACTGACATTTCTAATTAGCTATAACTTGAAATTTTAAAATTTATGTTTATGAAAAATGCCTTAAATGCGTCATAACCTTCCAGGGATGTTACCCATCAAGGAAACAATTGCAGAGATATGTTTAACAATCTTTTCAATCAGTGAAAAAAACCCATTTAATTCCAATGAAAAGTAATCAGTGTTTTTTTTAAAATAAAATATTATGGGATACATCCCTTAAAATCAGTCTTGTGGTTTATTCTTCATCTATTCTTCCTAAACACTGAATGCAGGTCAAGTATTCAGGGTAGAGCTGCTGCTGATGTTTATCTCTAAGAGCCATGGTGGCTTGGTTTGAAAAGACAGGTTTGCTCACTGGCCATGAACAGAAGATAATTAATAATTAATGGCCCATTAACAGAAAATATTAATGTTGGAGGGAGGATTGGTTTGTGGAAGAGACAAACTGCCCAATGAACAGAAGAGAACTGCCCCACCTCTGAGAGATGGCAATAGAATACCCCCAAGCCATATTTTACAACTCAGGACACAGGGAAATCCAGCTAAACCTGGTCACTTCACCCTTGTGCTGGAGGCACAGTGAGTTTGTTTTCAGGTTTGCTGTCCCGTGAAAGCTTTGATTGCTTCCACACAGAGATGGGGGAGTGGGAGGGTGAGCAAACTGCAGCGCCGGAATTCCGGTTTAAAAACTGCCGGAGCTGAGCTGCTCCTGCAAAAAACCACCTTGGCTGCCCCTGTGTCCACAGCAAAGCCCAGACTGGTGCTGGATGAAGTGCCCAAGGAGGGATTTTCAGCCCAGTGCTGGGCTCAGTGCTGGTGTGCTGCTGAGCAGGAGAATGAGGGGAGCCTCGCCCCCAGACTGCTGATGTAAAACAGCTCCCGGCATTTCTGCCAGAAGCACTTCTCCACCAAAAACCTGCTGCAAAGGAGCTGGGATTGTCTGTCCTGTGTTTGAGTCACCGTGCAAATAAAGCCCAGCACCAATGGCAAGGGTTTTGAAAAGCCAGATAAAGCCAAGAGGATGTTTGGAGAGATTATTGTGGGTCCTGGTAACTCCTGGTTTCCGTTTTTTGTTTGGTTTAGGATTTCCATGCAGCAGCAAATTACACATCCTCTGCTCCATCCCTAACAGGCTCTTCCTCAGATTCAGATATTCCTCACCTTCAAGAAATGCACAGAAAACCAGAGGGAAAAAAGTAAATACATCTAATAAATGTCTCACAAAGATATTAATTTCTAAAACATCAGTATGTAATTTACAAAATCACTCAGGACAGGGAAACAACGATCCAGAGAGTCATGGTCATCACAGATCTCTCCAGTACATAATCCCCTTTACTCACAAATCAGGAGAAAATCCATGTAGGGGAATGAAATCTCTACCTAGCAGCCCTGGGCACTACAACTTCTGGTTAAACCCTGCTTTCATTGCAGAATTCAGGCCAACAGACTTGATCATTTTGAAATAAACCTGATCTTTGAGAAATAAAATTAAAAGGGTTCTGAATGCAGTGACCACTCATCATGAAGTGGCTGAGAGCAAAAGCTATGGGGAGCCTTGAGATCAAATATATATATATATAAAAGAAATATTAAAAAGTATAAAAATACAGGTGTTGGTGCTGTGGGAATGAAGCTATATTGGGAATTTTTTAAGAAATTATTTCTCCTGTGGACAGGTTAATGCTTCCTCCTGAGACAAGCAACTATCTGGCATCTTCTGGTGATGTGTTCAGGACAGGTGAGATGAGAAATGGTCTTGGGGCACGTGCCAGCTCCCCAAATCCCACTTTTCTTGCAGAAAAGCAGAGACTGTGAGGTTTACAAAAACCTGCAACCTCCACCAATGCAAAATTGCCATGCTGAGCTCACTCAATAAATTCTTGTGGAGCCTGCAATCAGTTTTTAAGTTCTTCAAAGGGTGAGATAACCAAAATCCCTGCCTCCTCTTATGATAGCACTCCTGCCCATATTTTCCTTGTCTGCAGCCAGTCAGCAGGCAGGAGGGAGGGGCAAAGCTGATTTAAAAGGTTTTGCAAGAACCCACAGCCTCTCCTTGCCTGACTGCACATGGCCACTTTCCTGGAGCTGCCCACTGGTGGGAGGATGCCCATCCTGGGACTGGGGACCTGGCAGGTACCTGCTGCAGCTGGGGAGCTCTCAGATTGCTGAGAACCACTGTGCATTTTTGCAGCAATCTCCTCTTTGGGTCAGGAGAATGCAGCAAATCCTCTGTGCAGTATTTCCTTTTGAAATATCTCGGGTAATGCAGGGATTTATTCCCAGCCTTCAGGAAATCTCAGGAGTCAGTGGAGGTAGTCAAGCAGGTACAAGATTTTTTTCTTAGCTATGGAAAAAAAATTGCATGCTGAAAAACTAAAAACTTCTGCCCAGCTTGTTTTTCTTCTTATTTTTCTTTTTTTTTTTTTTTTTTTTTTTTTTTTTTTTTTTTTTTTTTTTTTTTTTTTTTTTTGTTTTGTTTTTTTTTTTTTTGTTTTGTGTGGGTTTGTTTTGGTTTGGGTTTTTTTTGGTTGTGTTTTTTTCTTTTTTCTTTCAGCACTGTTTGTTAATATCCCATGTAGGATATGTAATATATCCCATGTAGGATATGTATTTTTTCTTTCAGCACTGTTTGTTAATATCCCATGTAGGATATGTAATATATCCCATGTAGTATATGTAATATCCCATTCATGTCACGTTGGTGTCATCTGTGATGAGTGTGTGTGGATATAGGAATTTAATGGGCAATAAGTAGATTTGGAAATGGGAACTCACAATAATTCCTTAGAGACTTGAGGCTAACTTGTTTTTATTGGCAGCAGATGAGTATGCAGCACTTTGCAGGAATATAGTTTGGGTGGTTCTTTACCTGTAAATGTTACCTAATGGACTGATGGTAAGAGAGAATAGGTTAAAGAATATACTGAATTATAAATGTAAAAGGAGTCTGGAAGTGAGCTGAAAATTTTAAGAAACTGATCTTAAGAAAAAGATTTTAAAAAGTGAACTTTCCCCTGGATCTGAGACTGGAAACAAAATATGTCACACCACAACTTCCCAGCTCCATGAAACACTTTTCCAGTCGCCATAAAAATATCTTAAATTCTTGCCATATTTTTGGGCCAGTTGATCTAATCAGCATTTAACTTTATGTGCACAAACCTGGGTGAGTTTGTTTGACCATTTCAGTCTTTATTTTTCTGATGACAAAGGACACTAAGAAGCATGAAGTAATTAAAGCAGGCTTTAAAAACCAAAGTGTGCCTTGGGGGGGCCTCTTAGGGCCCAGTGCTGTGTTGGGGGAGCTCACTGAAGGAACTTAAATTGCTCATAGAAACTGGTTGGGACTGAGTAGAAGGAAAATTTTGGGCACATGATCCCTGCCACCACAAAACAATGTGGTGGCACACACACATCTGTTATGTGATGAAAACAAGGCCCAAGTGTGGCAGTCATATTTTCTGGAAAAATCCCCTTGCCCAGGATTCTACTCCTGGGAAGCTGAGAAGCCTCAGATAAAAAGGAAAACAATGTTATCCCATTTGCTTCTCCTGTGCAAATTTGCTGCTTTGGAATGTGCTTGGAGATTGTTTACCCACAGGTGATTGTTTCTTTGGTTTCATGTGAATTGTTTTGACTCAATGACCAATCAGTGCCAAGCTGTGTCAGGGCTCTGGAGAGAGTCACGAGTTTTCATTATTATCTTTTTAGCCTTCTGTCTGTATCCTTTCTGTTTTCTTTAGTATGGTTTAGTTTAGTATTCTTTAATATAATATAGTGTCATAAAATAATAAATTAGCCTTCTGAGAACATGGAGTCAGATCCATCATTCCTTCCTTCATCAGGGAACCCAGCAAATGCAAGTCCCAAGCCCATGGTGATATTTTCATTAAAGCTGTTTGATTTCAAGCAGCCTCAGCATTTTGGTGCCTTAAAAGGGACTCCCCTTTACCCAGCAGCTCTGACTCGAAGCCAAGCTCAGTGAGCACCTTGGAAAATGAAACAAGGGATTATTTTCTCTGGAAAACATCTCACATGACAGAGTTTTATGTAATCTCAAGGGTAGGTTGTTGCCTTTGCTCTCCACCCCTCAGCATGGCAGCTTTCAGGGATGAGGGGCTCCAAAATCCCAGCATTTGGCCACTGCTAGCCTGCTTGCCCATGCCTGCTTCCTCCTGCTGCCCTGGGAGGCTCACATCCAGGAAGGGATGGGATGGGGAAAGGGACTGCAAAAAAAAAGAAAACTTGTAAAGCTTTCAACTGGCTCTTTAGTTGTGTGCAGAAAAAAATTGCTGCGCTTTCTATGTTTTTGTTGTTAATTTAGGTGAACCAACTAAACACCCTTTGACTGGAAAAACTTGGAGAAGTGATATAATTAAAAAAAAATAAGGAAAAAAGTAGGAGGTGGTCATGGTTTTGAATCATGTTTCTGTTTGGAGTGCCATTTTCTGGATTTGCTGTCTCCAAGCCAAGAATCTGAAGTGATTTATTTTGCTACCAAGTACCAAGTGTGTACTTTACCCAGGAGGTGGCACTGTGTGTAGTGTTTTGAGTCCCCTCACCTCCCTGTCCTGGGTCAACAAGAGCTGGGTTGCTTTGTGCAGGGCCAGGGCACATTCCAGAGGTGATTGGTTTCCTCTTGTCACCAGGATGTCACACTAAAGTTGCTTTTAATTCTGGGGAAATTAGAACTTATCTCAAGATAGCCTCGTGTCCCAAGGTGAACTTCCAATACTTAGAAAAGGGAGGATTAGCTCAGGCACCTCATCAGTGACTCCCTTTGCCATTTGATCTCACAAAACTAATGAAAGCCAGATCCAGGCTGGTGTTGGAACCCTGGATGCTGAGGATTTTAAACTTTCTGTGCTCAAAGGCACAGACCCACAAGAGAACACTACATTTGACCTGAGGCTGTGCAGAAGGCTTCCAAAACTGATTGATAGCACTGGGATTATGGGTGTGGAGTTGGTTAGAAGTGTGTGATATCACAGGGTGGAGAATTTAGAGTTTGGAGTTTTAGAATATAGAAATAAATATAAAGCAAGATGGAAGTTTTAGGGCAGAAGCAGGTTGTTCTTCTTTACCTTCTTCTTCCTTCTTCTTCATAAGTCTGGGTGATGTTTTGTAATTGAACAGAAAAGTCCACAGTGTGGACTTGGAGGAGTCTCATTTCCAGGCTCCTTTTCCATTATAAATTCAGTATATTCTTTAACAGAAAAGTCCATAGTGCAGACTTCGAGGAATCAGTTTTTAGGTTAAAAAGAAAATAATTTAGGTGTCATTTCTTAATTAGGTAGCTTACTTTTAAAAGACCTTGTAACAAAGAGATGTTAGCCATTTTGTGCCTTGCTAATGAAAGACTACAGAAGTCACTACAGTGAGACTATAATATAAATAAAAAACAACACCTAAATTTAAACAGAAACTATCATCTCAATACCTTCAGTCCTAACCCCAACAAAAATTAAAAAAAAAAAAAAAGAAAAAAAAAAGCCAAACAAGAAACCCCACAGCCGGCATATCTTGTTATTCGGGGGCTTAAAACCACCGGATCTGCAAAACAGCAAAGCTGTTAATCTGCTATTTAGCAAATCTGGCTTTTCTTCTGGTTCCAGTCTCTGCAGGGGGCAGCAGGGGACGCGGTGAGGTTTGCCATCGACGTTGGGTACCGCCACTTGGACTGTGCCTACATGTACCAGAACGAGAGCGACATCGGGGACGCGCTGCGACGCAAAGTGGAGCGGGGCGTGGTGAGGCGGGAAGAGCTCTTCATTGTCAGCAAGGTGTGTCCTTGGATGTGCTTCTCACGTGGGGCCAAGCTCCAGGGGGAGAGACCAAGTCCTGACATGGAAAGAGCCACGGGATGAAGCTGGGAATTACCTCCTGCCTGTCAGTTTGGTGATGGGAAGGAATAGGTCAGCCCCTGAGAAACAAAAGGCTTGGTTTGAGAGGGGTTTTTTTTTTGTAGTCCATGTCCATTGTCAGCCATGGAGACAGGAACTGAGGCCGTGCTCTCGGTGGCCTCTGGGATAGGAAGCAGGGCTATTGTTTTTGTGGTCGCTCCCGCTGCGCCGCCGGCCTCAGCCTGTCAGCTCCTGTATGTTATGCTTTGTTTTGTTTTTTCCCCCAACAACAATGGTAGGAAAAATAAAGTAACTTCTATCTGCTGGAAGCTGGCGGGTCGATTTTCACCAGGTTCACTTATTTTCTTTGTTTTGATTGTTGCAATAATTGATGGAATTTCAGAGTATCCCATTCTCATTTTACTTAACAGTACCACAAATAAATTGAGGTGCCTCGAGTGGCACTTCCTCAAGATGGGATGTGCCACACCCTGAGCTGCCTCTGTGCCCTGTGTTTTCCCTGCTCTGCCACTGTGAGGGCAGGAGAGCAGCTCCCAGCTTTGTGTTCCCCCACAGCTCTGGTCCACCTTCCACAAGAGATCCCTGGTGAAGGAGGTGTGCCAGAAAACGCTTGCTGCCCTCCAGCTGGATTATTCGGATCTCTACCTGATGCACTGTCCCATGGGATTCAAGGTATTGCAACTTCAAGTCCTGAGATCCATCTCTCAGGGATCCATCTTTTGCTTTTGGGACCAGACATCTCTGTAGTCCCCTCCAATGAGGAGTGTTGGCAAATCTCATTAGGACATAAGGATAAACCTCTGCAGGGAGAGCCCAGGAGGAAAGGAAAGGTCATGGCTGCTTAAACTGGCTCTTGTAGTACAAAAACCACCTTATTCTCCCCTGCACAGCATTTTCAACTCATGGATCAAATTACCATCCAGATCACATTCCTCTTACAGCGTGGGGTTTGGCTGCCATTTTCTTATCAAGAATCAAACATGTGAACTACTTAGTTCAAAAGAGATTTTTCTCTTCTCTCTTAACCCCCAGGTTAAATAAATCCTGGTTTCCCCACCGTGTCACCTCCCTGGCCTTCTCCTGAGGCACACAGAAGTGCCTGCCCTTCCTCTGCCTGCAGGACAGAGTCTCAGACAGATTTTCTTGAAGATTTCTCAGTTGATACAGGCTGGTCATTTCAGCCACGTCTCACCCCACCACAAACATAATTCGGGATATCCAGCTCAGTGTCTCCAGCTCCACTCACTTGCCCAAATTTCTAAATGATTTCTTGAAGTACTTATAATTCAGCTGACCTTCATGTTGCTCTTCCCTTTGTGCTGATAGGCAGGAGAGGAGCTATTTCCTGCAGATGGAAACGGCATGATCATTCCCAGCGATACAGATTTTCTGGATACGTGGGAGGTACATTCATTTACAGGCCAAAAATATCTTGCTAGTTTGAAATAACAGCCTGAAAACTCTAAGCTTCCCACTGTGGGAATTTTTCTGAGAGAATTTCTAACATAATGTATTTGAGATTGCTGATTTCTCTGCGTCCTTGGGCTCCTTTTTGTGTCGCTGTGCCAAAATTTAGGTATTTTTATATCTGCTGCTTACTAAACTGGCTGGGTTGGCATGACAAGAGGAAATCTTGGTGTGTACCCTGCAGTGGCTGGTGCTAACAAATGCTGTTGCTCTCATCCCTGCCCCACTCTGGCTATTTTTTGGTGGCTTTAGTTGTAGCCATGCCTACCTCTTGTTGCACCTGAGCCATCCAGACCCCAGCACAGCCAACATGCCTGTGCCAGTGTACCACAGCACCCAAATTTCTGTCTCTGGAGGCAGTGGGACTTGGCCAAAGTCCTTTGCTAAGTTCTCCACACAGGCTGTGTGGGAGGCCAGGCTTGGGCGTGAATTCAAATTCCTGCCTGGCTGAGACTTTGGGCTTCCTTTCCTTTCCTTTCCCTTGCACTCCTATGCTCAGCCAAAAGCAGGTAAAAAACTCACCAGAGTCATCAGAATTCACTGATGCTTTTTGCCTTCTGTCAGATGAAGAATAAGGCACATTTTTGTTGTTCATTTGAAAGAAAAAAGGGGAAATTTCAGGCTGCTGCTTATGACAGCAACTTTAAACTAAAATGATTTCTGTTTTGCACCAAGGGTATCTTCTGCTCTAAAGGCTGGTAGCAGATTATTTTCCCATTTCTTTTCTGCTGGATGTGACAATCTAATTAGTGCTGTCTGGCTGTTTTATCACTCATTAGTGTGAAAGAAAATAGGTGATGGAGTGCTGCTTATCCTATAGTTCAACTGCTAAATGGCACATCTCTCTTGGGAAATTAATCAGTGTTGATCACCAGTATCCACCCTGTTCCAGGTGTCTTGTAACAGCTCCTTGTTGAGCTGCTCTGTTCCAAAGAAGGTGCTTTTTATTATGGGATGATTATTTGGTTAGCTGAGGAATTACTCTGAAAGAATCTCTTTCATCTATGTGAAGGTCTGCCTGGGGATAGTATTTCAAAATAGTCATGTTTTACTGAAATAATAATATTTTAGGAGTTGTGTGAATGTTGCTGTAATTTGTCTGTATGGTGACACACAATGTGAGATCTGAGTCTGACCAGAGCCCCACTGTTCAGGTACTGTTCTCACAGCACAGGAGGAATCCAGCCAGGAGGATTTTTACCACTCAAGTTTTCGTGTGGGCATTTTTTCCATATAAAAATGAAAGAACTTAATAGGAAGTGTGGTTCTGTGGTGTTTCTAGGCTATGGAAGAGCTCGTGGATGTGGGAATGGTGAAGGCTATTGGAGTCTCCAACTTCAACCAGAAACAGATCAATCAGCTCCTGGCCAAACCAGGCTTAAGACACAAACCTGTAAACAATCAGGTAAATTGTCCTGCAGCTCCTCAGCACTGACATCTCACCTGTCTGGGGTGTTCACAAGATGGAACATCTCTTAAAAGTTCCTTAAAAACCCCACACCAGCAAAAAAAAAACCACCTTTCCAAAGCTGATGTGGCACAGTGATGCTAAACCTTGAAGTACCTTCAGCTTTTGAGAGGTGAAAGCTAATTTTTTTTTTTTTTTTTTTTTTTTTGAGATTGAGAGCCACCCCTATCTTCCTCAGGAAGAGCTGATTAAGTTTTGCCAATCCAAAGGGATCTCTGTCACTGCATATTGTCCCCTTGGAGCACCCAACTGGCCAGGGTAAGAATGTTTTGTAAGGTTTCTTTCTTAGATGTAGATTGGAGTCAATGCAGTGAACCAGTCTTAGGATGTGGATGAAACCTCAGGGAAAATTAATTATGTAATTAGAAAAAGACTAATTCATTAAAAATCACACCCACAGAAACCTCACAGTTATTGTGATATTCAGTCCACTGCAGTTGCATATTTTGAAGAAAAAAAATCAATTGGTTGATGAAAGCAGAGAAGAGAATTTTTAACTGAGCTTTGGTGAGCTTATTAAACATGTAGGAGAATTTCTGAACTAAAAAAAACCCACCCACAACAAACCAAACAAAAAACCAAAGCAGCAGATGCTGATGAAAATAGCAACTTTGCAGTCCTGCTGAGACAAAGGGATTAAGTTTGTAAATGGGGAAGTTGCAGAAATTTTGCTTTTACTCCCATCTTCATGGCTTCCTCTGACCTGGGACAGGGCTTTTGCCAGAGCAGCTGTGCTTGTAAAGGACAAGATGAAATTCTTGGGATCTGGATCAAAGAAATTCCCAGCCTGATCTCAGGCTGGACATAAATGTGTTATAGTGACCTGTTTTTACCAGAAACTACAGGCCTCTTCTCATGTGTTCACTTGTTATAAAAGGGAAGGATGAAGGCAGGAACTGAAGTAACAAGATGTTAAAGTATGCAAGATTATGCTTTTTAATAATTTAAACAATATTATGATACAGGGCTTGAGGGAGAAGACAGTGGGTTATTCAACTACTGAAGCTTTTTTTTTTTTTTTTTTTTTTTTTACAGGTCCAAGCCTGACCATATTTCCCTTCTTGATGATCCTCAAGTTAAGGAAATTGCACTCAAGCACAACAAAACCCCAGCTCAGGTTAATACTGGTCAGAGCTGTTTTCCCTGCTGACTTGTATTCTTCCCACTTGTGCTAAAGTAACTACTTAGAGGTATTATGGAATAATAATATGGAGTTCAGGCTGTGTCTTGCACACAGTTTAATGCTTTAGAAATATAGTCTCTCTACCTTAATTTTAGTGATGGACAGAAGATTAGCAGTGGCTTTGGGCTTTAACTGGCACACTGGCTGCCCCTCCACACAGCATCCTGCCAATCCTGAACTCTTGCCCAATGCACTCCCTTGTTGTCATCTCAGCTTCAGACATGGATAAGGATTTAATGAGTAGTAATTAGGAAGGGTTTAGGTAGTGCTTCTCCTCTGTGAGCCCTCTCTGGTTACCAGCAGAGCTGCTCTGTGTAACCATGCAGACACCTTTGGTTTCAGCTTTCAGAAGACAGGCAGCACCTCATCTGTAAATTCACTATGTGTTCCTGCAGGTGCTTATCCGGCTCCAAATCCAAAGAAATGTGAGTGTAATTCCAAAATCCGTCACTCCACAGCGCATTGAAGAAAATTTTAAGGTAAGAGGGCACCTTACAGAGTCATTAATGGTGTTAAACTACACAGGGAAAAACCCTACTCTGCCAGTGGTACAAACCACCCCCCTCAAACCTAGAACCACCAAAACCTTTGTCAGATACCACATAGGTTATCACTTCTTTATGAACGCAAAGAGTCACTTTGAAAGTAAGGAGCCACATCTTCATTAGAACACATCAGGTAAGAGCCAAACTCTTCCACCTTGTGGTACAATTGTGCTGCAGGCAGAGCCCACCAGCACTGTAACCTCACACATTTATCCACTGCTCTCCCTGCACGGGTGGCCCCAGCACACCTCCTACTGCTTCAGCCTGCTTTTGCTATTCTTTCTGCAAATAAACTTCCTTGTCTCACTGCAAACTGAAGTAACCCAGCTGTTTGGGACCTTCCTGCAGGTGTTTGACTTTGAACTGACTGGAGAGGAGATGGAGACCCTCCTTGGTTTCAAGAAGCGCTATCGCATCTGTGCATTAAGCCAGTGAGTACCTCCTTCTCCTGCAGGCTTTGGCAGGGCTGGATTTCCACTGGAGAGCTTGGATTAGCACTGGATAGCTTGGATTTCCACTGGATATCCTCTTAACAGACACTATTTGATAGCCCCTTAAAAATAAAAAGGGAGGGAGCCTCAGCCAACACCTGGTCACATGTGCTGGAATCTCACCCTTGGGTTTATTAGAGCATTGCCCATCCTGCCCAGGTTGGGAACACTGGGATTTCTGCAGGCACAACGTTCCTAAGATGTCCTGTAGTGGATGCATACCAAACTGCTGTCTGAAAATCAAAATCAGCTGGAAATTCCAAAAATAAATAAGCAGCTATTTCCCCCCTCCGTTTTCTTTGGCTCCTTTACATAAGGGACAGTCAGAGTAAATAAACTCCATTTTAAGAATGAGAGTTGTAAGGTTTTTTTGAAGGGAAGAGCTGTGCCTATGTACTCCTGCCAATGTTATCTAGATAACAGAATGGTTAGACTCACTAAGTTCTGCATTTTATTCAGTTTTCCCAGGTTACCCACTTGTTTAACAATATCCTGGGGGCTTGGGAATTTCCAGCAGAAAGGTTTAATATCTCAGGGAACTTTGGCAATTTCAGCTGAGCATAAGATACATTATCCTTTGAGAAGGAGCTCACTGCTACATGCAAATGTTACAGAGAATTCCCTTTCCCTGCCCTAGGTACACATGTGTTTTTGATGTAGCTCAATTTCAGTTCTCTTACCAGGGAAAAAAAATCCCTTTTCTCTAAACTATAGCCTTAAAATGTTGTAATCATGCTCTCTTTTTCTAGATGCAAAAATCACAAGGACTATCCTTTTTTAGAAGACTGACATGGGCATCAGCTTCAGATCCTCTGGGGGATCCAGACCATTTTTTGTTATTTCAAGCAATTTACAATACTTTGTGTATTAATTGATGATAGAAGGGGCATATGTATTAAAAAATGGGAGAAGCTAACTCAGGCATTCTGAAGAGTCATCTTTGAACATGGATACATTTGCTTCCTTTATATCAATCCATTGTATCAGTCCTTTATCTGCTCTTGTAACACAATTTTCAGTTGCAGCAAAATATGTATTCTCTCTTAATTTAATAATGATAATGTATTTAGTAATGATAATGAATCTTAATCAAGCCATAGATTGAGATTAGGGAAAAGCATTTTTGTCATAACTCTAAATCCTGACTAAGTTTAGAGAAAATTTAAATTCTCTGATTAGTTATACTTTTGGATAAAAGGTTAATACATCTATCTTTTAATTATCAATACAAGACAATCCATTTCACATCAGAAGATCTCAATGACATGACATGCTGCTTGAGATGCTGAGTTCAGTAATTTCAGTGTAACAGACTGAAAGCTCTTTAGAGGACACTGCTGAATTATGATTCAGGAGCTCTTAATGAGGTTCCCTATTTATGAACTGCTAAAAACTAATAAACTACTAGGAGATTTGTATGTTTGGTTTATAGTACCTGCAAGAGTATATAAATACTGCTTTTATCAGTAGAATGGCTGCAGTTGAGACTGAAAATCTCCTAGAAAATCCAAAGTCTGATAAAGGAGACACACAGGAATTATTTTGTTTGGCAACTGTCATATTTAGCAAGCAGAAAAGCTGGGCAGCTTCACAGCAGATTTTCACTCTCCTGTACTGTTCCCTAGGTACTGTTTGCTTGTGTTTTGACTCAAAGGATGTCTTCTGGATGCTGTTGTCTCTGGTTAAAAAAAAAAAAGTAAAAAGCCAGTGGTGCTGCAGGCCATGCTGGTGTTTTAATGAGGTGTCTGTTAATTAATACTTGCTCTTTAACAATTGACTCAAAACTCCTGTACTTGCTTTAGGCTCCTGCAGATCAGGATAAGAAAATGTGGCTCAGCACTGCATGCAGAGAGAAGGACAATGTGTAATTAAGGTTCAGGACTAGGATACACACTTTATGGATATCCTTTTCCAACTGATTTTCTTTGTAGTTAATAAAGGAAATGATGACATATCTTTGAGCTACTTCAGACTTTTCCAAGATGTGTGAATAAGGGGCACTCTACAAACAACAGAGCAAATTCCCATCAAACTGGATTTGGACCTCTTCCAAAGAAAGAGGTCTGAAAAATCTATCAGGAATTGACACTGAGCAGTTATACTGCAGTGATATGGACAGAATGCACCTGTAATGGGCATTCTCTTTTTTTCTCCTCCTGAACATGCTACATTTAAAAGGCCAGTTGCAGGATATCATCCTAGATGCAATTAGAGAGTGAACTCTGTGGAAGGTGCTCTGCTGCCTGTGGTCACTTGTCAATTCACAGCAGGGGCAGAAATACCCACTTAAGGCTGTAGCATGCAGCCTGTCTTGAAATATTCTCTACTTCATAGGAATTTTCTAACCACATTCCAATTTAATCACAGCTATCAGACTTGAAGCTATTTACAGGATGTTTATAGATTGTGCTAGGCAGGAAGTCAGACTAGATGATCACAGTAGCCATATAATAGTAAAAAATTCAAAACAAGTTAGAAGCCAGAGATTGTGCATTTGTTTCAGAGACAATAGATCTTTTTCAGCTGCAGAGACTTTAGTAAAGGTAAAAGGAGAAGAATTTGGGTGGTGTCAGTTGCTGGGAAATAAAACTCCCCTGTTTTGCAGCAGAGCCACAGCCCTATTTACAATATGCCTTTCTAGAAGAGAGTTGCTGCCTCACAGCAAGCACAGCCCTGAGCCTGGAGCTGCCAGGAAAGGTTTATAGCTTAAAAAAGCTTTATAGCTCTGCCAGGAGCTGCATGGAAAGGTTTATAGTATCCCAAATTAATTTGCAGTTTCTATCAGCTGTGCAGCAGTGCTCTTGCACCAAGCCCACACATACATCATTCCTAGTCAGCAGTGACATTATCTGAGCCCAGTAAAATGAAAACACCTTAGCTTAGCACTTTGTATCCCAACACGTTGTCCCATGACTTCAGCTTTTTATTGTGGAGTTCATCCATTCTGGTAGAGTCAAGCCTCATGAAAAGTTCCAAAGGGGCTGAGTGAAAAGAGTAAAGTGTTATGTCCATGTTTTGGAGGGAAAACTGGACAACACAGGTAATGAACAACAGGTAAAAATCCAAAACGCTTTGCTGATCAATGCTGCTCAAGTTCTCCATCTGTTGTAATTCCAAGCTCTCTCATATTGTTCAAAAGAAAACTGACTGAGAAGCCAAAGACTGTCAGATACAAACCTACTTCAAGAACTTTTTGCATGCAGTCCTACACAAGAAGTGCAGGTCCTTGCCTTCCTCTGAATCTTAAAAAAAAAAGACTTACAGAAGACTGATTAAGGGAGTAATTTATAGATATGGCAATTAAGTAGACCAAAATTTTCCTTGACCTGACACCAGTACAAGGAGCTGTGCCAGATGTTTATCAAACCTGGAGCAGCTGGTGTATGTGGAAATAGACCAGTTATTTTTTCTTCCACTGTAAAAACCAGTAGAATCAAATGACTATCAGCAAATCAGCCCAAAACAAAAAAGAGATGGCAATTCTTCACAAACTGTGAGTGTGAAGCATCATTCCCTGGGAACATAAGATTCAGAAGGTAACTGAACAACAAAGAGTTAACTGGTGGCTGTTAAACATAAAAAAACAAATAACACTTTGCTGCAATGCTCAGTTTACTCATCTTTAGCAACTTATTTTGACCACAGCTGGAGACAAGATGCTGCAATATGTGATACTTACTCTGATTCAGTTCAGCTGTTATTATGAGCAACTACCAGCTGTTTTAGAAAAGCTTGATTTTGCAATCAGCTGCTTTTTTTCCTTAAGAATTTGGGGGGAAAAATGGAGTTTTGCAGCTGTTTGCACTAGTGGTTCTGTACCATGCCCTTTAACAAGTTAAAATGCAAGAGCAATGTGGCCTATTTAAGGGTTTTAAGAGCTGCCTCACAGCTCAAATAAACAAGGTCTTGCCAGAATAAGACAGGGCTCTGTACTTTTAAAGAAACCAAGGACAAGGCAGAGGGAGGGATGACAAACAGTTACTGACAGTTTGTAGGTGACACACTAGGGGAGTATTAAGTGACTGAAATGAAAATAATTGTCCCAAGGTAACTGTTCTGTGCCCCAGTTAAGCAAAAGACTCCAGATTTCTAGCTGTACCTTCAACACAGTGAATTCAGATTAAAATCCAAAGACAGGAATTTCTTTTCCCATTTTGAATACTGGAGTTTGCTGTGCCCCAGTTTTCACAAATGAAAACTGAAACATAGCATATGTGCAGTCTTGTGAGCTGAGCAAGGAGAGGTCCTGTCTCCTTTTTCCCTGAGGGAAGCAAACACCAAGTTAGAGAGCATCATTTGAAAAGTGATTCCAGCCAGGCAGGCCTGTGTATTTGTGTTCCAATACCAGAAGTAAAGCTATTTTCTCTCAAAGGAACATCAATTGCAACCTGAAACAAACATGCTGTGCCTGTCAGACTATTTGTGCTGTCCTACCTTCAACCAGCAAGATTCTAATTCCAAATAATTCTTGTATTCTCCTCTACTACACAAAAAAAAAAAAAAATTGCTAAAACAGTACCTTGCCTTCTCTAATGAGATAACTCCTGATTTTCTCTACCTGTTTTCCCTGATAAATCATCTCACCATCATTCTTTGCTACCAAGTAAATGGATCTGTCCTGTGAGAGCCATTTTCTTCTAAATAAAGGCCTGCTAATCTGGTACCATTTGGAGCAGTGAGTGCAGCTGGAAATGAAACAAATTTTGTGAAAGTACTGCTTTTACCAGTTCCAAGGACTTGTTTTTTTTTTCTGCTAGCTGGTCTTAATCTTTCCTGTAGGCTGGAAATGCTCTTCCCAGGGTGTGCTACAGTATCACACTAGCTCAGCTGCTGCAGCAGAGTCCCCAGAATGTCTAGGAAGGTGGAGCTGAACTACAAGTTCTTAAATTAAGAACACAAAACAAAACACAACCAACTTTTCATTGGAAGAGCTACAAGACTGTATTTGTCCTTAAAAATGTCTTTGATCAGAAACCCAGAGATCTGTCAAATCACAACACAAAAACAAATGCTGTGAACAGTTTCAGCAGGAAGAGCTCAGCTGGCAGCAGTGCTGAGCTCCGGATATTGAACTCTTTGATCTTTCCACTTCACCTTTTAGGAGATGAAAGGAAATCTCTGCTCTTGTAGGCAGAGAGTGTGGCACAAGCATGGGGCTACAACAGACTATTTTACTGTAACAATTCCTAGATCAACCTAGACTAAAAGAAGATTTCTCCATCTCAGCCTTGACTGTATGCTTGGAGAAGCAATCCAAAACCATTAATCCAAATGCAAAACCTTTAAGGGTGACAGGGTTTCCTGTCACTCCCTTCCCAAGCTGACAACAGCCTGCTTTCTGTTCAAGCTTGTGCATCATTACTCCTGCACTCAGGTGCTTCTCTGTTTTCCCTCTGTTCCCACTCTGACACTTCAAGATCCAAGCCCTCTGCCGGCTAAGTGCTGCACTGTGTCCCAGAACGACCCTTTCCAAATTCCTTCCCACTAAGTCATCCAGCGAAATACAGAGAGAGCCTGTTACAATGCCACTCCACCCCGAGTGCTCTCCCTTCTGCTGTGGGGCAGTCTGTCTCCAGTAAAATTCCTACTTCCAGAATGGAAAATTTCATTTCAGACTTTCATAAAGTTGCAGTGAAATGAAAACAGAGGAAGCTAACAGAACCTGATGTACTATTTTGGAAACCCTGACCCTCAGTGTAACTCCTTGCCAGAACACACTTGTCACAAAAATGTTATTTGCAAGCAAGTCAACATTGCCCCAAACAGTTTTCTGTCACAGCTCAGACTCAGCAAAGAACATCACCTTTTCTGGCTTTTTTAGAATGCCTTAGGGCTTTTGTTTATCACATTAGACAATCTCAAAAACACTCGCAGAGCTGAAGCTTTCAGTATGTGCTTTTAAGTCCAGAATTTAAAGTGATTTATAATCAATTTATGTTAGAAGAACCAGCATTAGAGGGGCATATTGCTTCAAGTCAGACACTGATTCTTTCCTCCTCATATTTTAAGTTAACTCAATCTTGTCTGTTCAGCCTATTGTAAATTATTGTGGCCAAAAACATGTTGCATGCTAATTGTGGTCTTAGCATTACTGGAAAGATTTTTAAAAAGACTTTTAAAACTTTTCTAATAAATACTAACCATGACATTGAGAAAGCAGATTTTTTTTTTTGTAATTTTCAATCAGTATAACTCCTTTTGCTCAAAACCAGGAAACAAAGCACCTATTTCACAAATACTTTGACATCAAATTGCCTTGATGTTACATTTTGACCTGGCCAAGTTCAGTTTAAGGTTTGCTACACATTTATGGAATCACAATCCTACATTTATGCATTAACAGCCCTGGTGTCTCCCTTCTTCCATCTGTTCAGAGAGAACCCCCTTTCTGCCAGGCCTACACAACCTCCTCAGAGGGAGCACTCACATCCCAGATCTACCCAGACATCTGAAAAACTCTCACAGGAATATGCAAGAAAGCCACCCAACATTAGCCACTGCTTTTACCAGTGCCCAAATGCATTTTGTGAACAGTCTCGAGCAGCTCTCAGGTGGTAATAGCTTTAAAATCACTATGTGCAAGTATTGTGAAAAGCACAAAGGGACAAACACACCTCACGAACCAGAAGTTCAGTATCAGCCTGGTTTTCTGTGCTCCCTGAACAAAGCATTACATTTCTGATCTGCTAGCTCAATGACACAGGATTTTCTTGGAAGCCCATTTTTACTGGCATCTTGTACAACCAGAGAATTCCTTCCTGCACCATGTGCTCCCTGCTGGAGAGGGCAAGTTTTCTACTGCTTATTAAAGCAACGCTGTGTGGGCTTCAAGTCTTCTACTAGCAAAAGTATACTATCACCTCAGTAAGATAAAAACTGAATTAAACATGACTGTACTGCTTGTCAGAAGCAAACCAGTTCTATTTAAAGAGAGGCACAAACAGACTCACTGGCCACAAGCTCAACCATGAGAACAGCAGGCAGCTCCCAGGGCACATGCTAAGAAGTGAACATCAACAGATGATTTTGTGGGGGATGGTAATTTTCTTGCTTTTGTGTAATCTCTAGAGACAGCTGATATTATACAGCTGCTCCAGCATTACCACCATTAG